ATCAGCAGAAAAAAAACACTGTTATTGTAATGTACCAGCTGACCTAACCCAATGCATTTCAAGACATTTGTCAACATAGCCAACATTGTTAGTTCGTAATTCAAACGTCACATACAAAAGCGTCCCACAGCATGATCGTTGAATACACGTACTGCCATCAAAGTAAACCATATCGATATTTGTTGTGTAAATATGACTGGATACATATAACAGTTGATTTGTGAACGGTAGCTCTACTAGCTGTATCGGATGCAGTGAAATGTAACGTTGTAAATTTTAAATAAATCTTGCCCGTGTATGAGGGGCGCTTAGCATGAATATGAAATATATTTATTGTGTGTATATATATATTGTATGTGTGGTTAATGTACTATGATGTGAAGGAATTCTCTGGGTCAAGTTGATTGGTGTCATGTTTCCAAATGGAGAGGGCAACCGGAACTCGACAGATACTGACGGACGGGGTTTTTTTTTTTTGGGGGGGGGGTATATTTTTCATAATAACCATTAGCGAGATTGTCTCCTATACGTGAATGCATTGTCACACTTGCGATTGGCCGTAGTAATTATCATAATAATAATAGTAAACGATCGTTATAAGTACGGGTTTTATATATGTTCATAAAATGACCTTACTGAAATGTGTGTTGTGTATGCGGAGCGTGCGATCAATGGTAACAGAGGCAGTGTTTAAGTGATATGAACAGTACAGAAAGTGGACCTACCTCCATCTGCATACGTCTCGCATCCATAGCCATCCTGTAGTCCCGTAGTCCACGTCCCTTCATAGCGGGCGCCCGATGTCGTGCTCTGTCGTACGCCATAGCGTCCCTTGAATCCCTGCGTCCATTCCCCCCTGTACATCCATCGGCCCTTGGTTTCGCACCCTAACCCATGTCGTTTGCCTTGGAACCATTGGCCTTTGTAAGCGTTTCCGCTGGGCCAGGTGTACACTCCGGACACCTCGAAGCCGTACTGCCAGGCCCCAGCGTACTCCCCTTGGCCCTTGGGCCCCGTACACACCCCATGGCCATGGGCCTTTCCCTCCTCCCAGCCCCCGCAGTACGTGCCCCCATCATCGAAATCGAAACGTCCCCTTCCCGAGGTCATTTAGTTTGTTTGATCGTTGATGAACATGAGGCGAGTCAGTGTCAATAAATCAGCTGATGATAAGGTTAACAGTAGATATTTCTCCTGAATGTCCGTGATTGAGCTGGCCTACCCTCACATGCCGGCGACGTGACTGAGTTGTGGGACAGGGTAGCGTATGCTGGCCAGGTTATGGGTGGCAGGGCAGGGCGACACCATCACCGGCCTACCTGACATGATCACGCCTAACACGCTACTCCAGCTCGATAGCACGAAATGCAACAACTGCAAACGAAATAAAACAGACGGTCAGTTCCACTCAAAAGGACAGATATATTAGGACACACAACACGAAATTAATGCCATAACAGTAGCAGTCGTTTAACCTGGAGCATACGAAATCAAACGAAACGCCGATCCAGAATTATTACGCTAATATCCAACGTTAATTCCTCTCAATTGTAGTCGGCCCGACACACATGTTGTGAACTCCCCAGTGTATGTATGTGGGAACGTCCCCCTTGTACGAGCGAGGGAGGGCTGTGGCAATCCGCTACTGCAGCTGACGGTAAATGCAGTAGAGAAGAAGACAACAGACACACACAAGGTATAGGCAGGCAGCACACAACAGTACTCACACTGTATATAGAGCCATCCGTCCTCTGATCCACGTTTAATCAAACGATACGTCGCTCGTTGAGCGGCGCGCAAGGTTAAAGGTTTGCACCTGATGGAATCAAAACCTTTCTTTCGCCTCAGTTGCCCTGGCTCCGAAACACCGCGGTGGATCAACCCCAAAATTTCCAACCCGTGAGGTGATAAATTTAATCATATTCCACGGGGAAGGATGGTACGGGGCGATGCGAAATTCTCCTCCGTCAGGGTGAATAAATTATGCGAAAATGTCCGCCATAGAATCTTGCTTCTACATGTGTATGGGAGGTTGGTTACCCATATATGGCCGCGAGAGACGATTGGGTAAGAAGGTCGATCGGTCTGAAAAGGAACCCGAGAAGATATACGCTATTTCAATAGTGAGAGATGTTCCGTGTGTTCCTGTGAAGCTCGGCGCTGCTCGGGATCTGTCGGCTGCTCGCTCTCTCCTCGCTGACCGGCTGGTTGGTCGGCAGGGAAGCGATTCCTTCCAACATCTGGTAATGAGAGAGAAGCGCACGCTAACGTGTGGCAAGCGGGCAGGCAGACTGCAGTATCGTCAGGGAAGCTAGGAACATCACCAGGAGACACGCTTGGGGAGGCAGTTCATCTCCATACAACGTTTATACCAACTCACTGACTTCAATCAATAATCGATCAGCCCTCCACACTGTGTCGTTTTCTTAACAAGTTCAGTGCAGCATGTCGTCTATACTTCAGTTTCAACATATCTATATTTTTATGGCGCTGCATATAAGTAGTATCAATAAAATGTTGGAAACAATAACAAACTGATATGCAGCTGTACAACACGTTTAACAGATTATTTTAGTTTTCAATCGCACATAAACTACACGTGTCTGCAAGCATAGATCACGCGACGAAGATCATGATTACATATACCAACTGCGTGTAAAGTGGAAAAAAAACCATGACTGAATTCGACTAACAGTGCATGAGGGAAATTATAAGTTGCATGTGTAAACGATGGGTGTTCTGCTTCATTCAGAGAAACGTGCAACATGGAAAACAGGCAGTTTCCAATGAATTGAGGACACACCTGTTGCACGTGTTAGTTTCAAGTTTGCATACACGGACAGATTGAATAGCCACACCTGGTTAGAACTTCACGCATAACTTGCTTTACTAGATTTGGAAACATATACGCATGAACAGTACAATTTCCATAATTAAACACATGACTTGGCCTTCACGATTATGTATATCTGGAGTAAGTATATACATGTGACATCCCGGCTATACTTTCTATCAACATATGCGATTAATTAGATGATAATCCTCAAATGTCTGCAGAAACCAATACTGGACGTGTGAATGGACAAATGGTGCTTTCAAGACACAAAGTTACGTCATTTTCCTTTCAGCTGTGTTAAGAACATCTCCAGGATAATGTACGAACATGGGACTATGATTATCTCATTTAGCTGTAAACTTACGGTAGATGCATTAGTAGAAACGTTTTGCAGTGTAATATTACCCACAATCAGCTATCTTAACCCCGGGGATCCGACTTCAGAGCAGGGGGTCGGGACGTGGTACGTAATGCGATGGAGAACGTATGTACTTCCAGATTACAAATGTACATTCTTCTGTGTAATTCCACACACAAACCATCAGTTCACTCTGTAATGCACTATCAGTTGTATGTGATATTTAGTTTGCATGTGTTTCCAGTTTAAGACAATCTTATTATAGACTGTGTGTTTAAGCTAAGAGGTATTATTCATCATTGAAAAAGGGGCTAGCGTGATTGCTCAACAATCTGGCGTCTGTTTAAACCGTAAGTATTGAGTAAATTCTTGTAAACGTCGCGCTCAGCGATATTGCTGCCAATCACGATAAACAATGGTTGATGTTATGATCATCGTTTAACGCCGTTAGGTTACGGTGACACACATTCAACACGTCATATAGCCTGGCCGCAGGATTCATTCAAGTCGTCATTTACCAAATTTCCAGTGATGCTTTAGGGCTAACACGGGCCGCGTGCGAGTTTGAGACATTGTTGTAACCTATTTAGTGTAAATCATTGACCGATATAATGTATCAGTCATAAAATGTACCTAACACACCAAATGGCGCTTGAGAGACTTAAACCCCACCGAGCCAGTACAATCCTTTTTCGACTGGAGCACATGCCTTTTCTGTCAGCGCTTATAATTATATACAAACAAAAGAATACCTTCTCTCTCTCTCTCTCTCTCTCAAATTCAAATGATAACACTCAAGAAAGCGTTGGTAACACTCACGACAGTCAAATTTAAAGAAACAAATTAATCTTTTGGTGTAGATACTAACTCCGCAAGGTGTTGTGTGTCTTTATTTCGACCTCCTCCCAAGGCAAAGTAATATAGTTTATGTGCTTGTATGTTATTCTATTATTGATCTGATTATCATCTCAACTGGTCATTAGCACCCCACTATCCTAAATATAATCTCACAATTTGTTTGCATTACTTTGAAAGAGGAAAAATGCTTCTAAACACGTGAAGTCTTTTGATATTTTAGAGCTCGCCATGTGTAGGTATTTTCACTGATTTGGACAGTCTGAGCTTGTCGAAAATGCCATTGTATGTCATGCTTGTCAGGTGTCAATATAGGATGCCAATGTTTCATGCCCTGTTTCTTTCTGACACACTCGCAGACACAATGTGTTTTACCATGTTTGCAAAGTATTCTTTAGTGCAAGGTAGCAAACTCGCACTATAGGACATGATTATTTCGCATACTTATAGCACCAACATGATGCACGTCAGCAAAGTTATGTTGGTCATCATAGGACTGAAAGCGTGTAAGCTTTCGTATTGTAAGCAGACAATACTCTAAATCACTTCGCCATCCAGATTCCTGCATAAATATTGACGGAGAAATGAACATGAGAATCATAACAGGATGACATCGTACGATTGAACTACAGGCAAGGTAAGCTCCCTCAGCCTGGCTATTTCAGCATGTTCAGAAGTTTACACAGTCAAATCTGCCGTACGAGGGAATTTAAAAGCATGTGCAAGACAGGGTTATAATTACTTTGCAAAATACGGCGCATGTGCTGAATCCAAAAAGTACGAAATTTCGTTACTGTTGGTACACATTCCCAGACTTTTGTTTTCTATTTACATTAAATTTAGAGTATCCGAAACATTCCGGTTTAAAATACCTTCCACTTTCAGATTAGTGCCAGCAGAAGATTAAAGAACGTTTTCATTCTAAAATATATACACGGGTGTAGATGGTGACAATTTATTCTGACAAGTAGATCATCTGAGAACAGTTCATGCAATGTTAAAGGAGCACTAAGACTCTGCTCATGCTCTAAAATCAAGGGATATGTCCGATTGACCTTAGTCCCAAACCCAAACTACTGAAGGAAACATGCAAGTGACTAAACAAAACAATATTATTAACATAAAATTCATATATGTACATTTTTTACGATCAAGCACAATCACATAATTTAGATTAAATATGTCACGAATATGTACAATTATTAAGTCAGAAATCAATGTTATAGATTTATACTTTGGTACAAATGTCAAATTGATAGTAACAGGATATGCATGTGAAACAAGACGTGCTTCCATGCAATAAAAAGGGTATAATATCTTAACAATGTTTAAAACTTCACAGAGGGTGTCTCGAAAAGAACAACCCGCAGGTCAGATGATACGACATACTTCAAGCATGTGCTTGTGGAGGTATCTCTTCTGGGCAAAGGCGCGAGAACACTTTGGACAGGAATATGTCTTGTTCTGTGTTGTGTGGATGAGCATGTGGGATCTAAGGTTCGACTTATCAGCAAAAGCTTTGTCACAGTCAAGATATGAGCAGCGGAATGGGCGTTCACCTGTATGTGTACGCATGTGACCCTTGAGGAGCCAGGACCGTGTAAAGATTTTGCCACAAATGTGACACTCGTTCCTGGTCTTGCCATGAACCCACATGTGAGCTTTGTAGGCAGAGAAAGATGAGAATTCCACATCACAATCTCGGCATCTAAGTTCTTGTTCACCTGAACTATCATCGCTCTCGCTCAGGTTCTCATATTCGGTAGAAAGACTTCGTGCATCATCTCTGCTATCTTGGCTATCATCGTCTACCAGTAACAAGTTTGATAAACCATCCTCTGGCTCACAATACTGTTGATGGGTGCTCTGACATGGCAGCGCCTGGGAAGGTCCACAGTCCCCTGTCACATTAGATGTCGACTTGTGAGGTTGAAAAGTCTTGTTGTTCCTGTTGGTATTAACGTTACTCTGCAGAAGTCCTTGACCTCTGTGTAATAATGGGGAGTTCAAAAACACCACTGGCATTTTGTCATAATATGATCCACTATCTTGTATCTGTGCTGTCGGGTGTTTCAAATTGTAGTCAGTTTCGCTGTTCAGACCGATGTCATCTACACTGATATGCTCATCAATATCTTCAGTATTTCTCATGACATCTCTCGAATCATCTCCCTGCGACAAAGCTTCGGGCGTTTCTTCTTTTTCTGACCGATGAACTTCTCTCAAGGCCATCAGCTCTTCTCGCCAGTTGGCAAAGTCTCGGGGTCCAACTCCTGCGAGGTCAAGTTCTGGCAGACGACGACAGATATAGAAACGTGTGACAAACGATAAGTGACTTAAAGGGCGATGCTTCACTGGAAAACTTTTCTTTTTAGGAGGCACGCTGGGTGGTGGCTCGTCGGTGGGTACAGGGGAGGGTATGTTTCTCACCACTGTGGTCACACGACCACGCGGTGCAGTACTTATTGACAGGCCGGACCGAGTGGTCATGACGAATGGGTCGTACACTGAAAATACAGAAACATAAATTGTACAAAAGAATTTTCAGAAATTTAGAACCCAAACGAGTTTTATGTCCTACAAGCTGTCCTAACATAAATATTTTGACACACCAAAGAGATCATCGGAGGTGCAGGGTCTGAAACTGGCACTATTCCAATAGCTAACAAAGGCTCAATATATAATTTCATGATATATGAATAAGAATGTAGGGTTTAATGCTTTTTGAGCCTGGTTTCGGATTAAACAATCTTGTACTCTTGTCGTTGGAATGGGACACCCCGGACGGGGTCGATCGTCAACGCCATTCTCGTGGGTTCGTTGGTACCTGCTTATCACAGATTGTGAAACCGTGAACGTACTGGCCACTTGTCCACGACATTTGTTGTCAACACTTATCTTTGTTCTAATACTTGGTATTAACATTCACATTTCGTGATCCCATACCTTTTTGAAGAGTGTGATGTAAGGGCAACCTAAGTCTTGTCTCAATTGTTATTGTGCTGGGTTAACACATCACAGTTAGATATTCATACATCAGGTTGTTCATACCAGTAAAGATACAAATAACCGAAGCATATGGCATCCTTTGCATATCAGTGAATATAGTTGACACTCAGTGAATGTTTGATATCAAGATGATGTGAACCCCTTTTTTGGAACAGACACGCACAGACACAGACACACACACATTTTCATTGGTATGTGCCACACATGAATTCTAGAACTGAAAGCAAGGTTTCGCATATAAGGACAAATTAAACAATGTTATGACTTTTCGAAGATTGCATCTTTAACGCAAAAGTAGTGTCCATCTTAATTCGAAATCCACATTCAGTTTGAGATATAGATATGTACTGTGTATTGAACTTTGGAATACATATTTAAACTCATAGAAAATGTTGTAGCAATGCACTTTTATATTATACCACTCACTCCATATATTCATACATACAAGTTTTAGTACATGTTCCTCTGTCTTGAATGGTCAAGGGTGAAATATAGGGTAAAGAAACCCAGTGAACACTGTTATTCATTCGTCTGGTTCATGCAGTCTAAGGTGTGGAACATATGGATATATAAAGAGATAATTCTTCCAATTTGTCAAAATAATTAGCTCTAAAACCTAAAACTTAACATTGCTCATGAGTTTTTGAAAGCAAGCACTGTATCATTATTTGAAGCTTGACATATCAATGTGTTGCATGTATATTTACTTATTTTTCCTGACAAGAAGCATTTCATGTGTTTTCATAGTAGTCTTAGTGTAATGAACATTCCTCAAATAGGACACATTTTATTACAAGTCACACATGACTATACTATAAATATTGGACGCCATGAATGTGTGTTTGTGTAACAGTGTCTTGTTAACCTGTTCAAGTGGCCATGTTTCTGATGCTATGCCAAAATCTGATCTCAAAATGTGTGTTCTCTCACATCTGACATTCCTGGAGTTTTATGTAAACTTTATTGCACTGCAGAGTCATGTTGTACCAGCAGTACAGAAACATAATTTTAACTATAAGAAATACATATGGTTTCAAAAGAATGTTATGAGACGAAACATGATAGTTTTATGTTTGTTGTTGTTTTATGGGTTTAAAGGAGAGTTCTTCCTAAAAATAACACCTGTGTTTGGTAACCTCTTGTATTCCTATAAATCACAATCATCTATTACACAAACAATTCCGTTGCACCCACATTTATATTTATACAGTGCTTAATATTTGTACGTACCTACCTACATAAACTTTCATATTACAATTGTTAATGGGGGAATTCACTGCTCACTTTCAAACTTACTTTGCCATTTAACTAATGGGTCCCATGTGAAAATAGAACTGATCTAAGTTATCACATCTATTAGGATTACGGATGACAGGTGAATATGGGGTAAATAGCGTGATTTTGCTATGGAGTTTATATTTTCTTAAATTCAGAGGTTTAACATGATGCAATTCAAAAGTGATAAAGCATTTTCTTCTTTTTTTTCGTCATGTTATTAATATAATACAAATCACCGTGACAAAGTTTTAATTGTCATTATAAGTATGATAATATTTTGGGAGTTACTACTGACACACACACACACACACACACACACACACACACACACACACATTTGGAGATCTATAGCCTGTTTTTATATTGTATTGTCTTCGTAAATATTATAGTTTTAGATTTCCATGCTAGTTTTAGACATTATCTGTGATACTCTAGTTATTTTACAGTCCTTCGATGACAAAGTATTTAATAAAGTTACCAAAACATGACACTGCCCAAGTTCGACGAGGTATCAAACTGGTAACTTATGGAATAACAATCGTTTATGAAAGTCGTTTATCAAGCTTGCTTCAAAAGCTTATTGTTGACGTAGTAATTGGACAGACAGCAGACGACAGCTAGGCCTATTCATGATCGAAAAAACATGTATCATTTGTTTGCAATGTGTTTAGAATTTCAGTTTATGTGCTAAATATTACTACCACATGATAATAAATGTACGGACTATGGATATTAAAGGACGCCAACAGGTTTGAAGCGTTAGCTTTCGCTATAAAGAAAAATGTTCGGGCACCTGTCATACTGAAAATTTATGCGTAGATTGGTCCTCAAATTTACCTCATAAGGTTCTTGATAATTTCATTGTTAATTATCCAAGTACATTCCAAACATTAATTAAGAGATTACCATATAATATTTGCGCTTTGAAATCGGAACGATAACATAAAGTAAACGACATAACATAACAGTGAATCGTCTGTGCCACTAGAATTTGACATTTCATTTTCAAACCTACCGTTGCCAGCAACGTATTTTCCTGATTTGTAACCCCTTACGGAGTTTAGTAGACATTTGGGCATAGTTTAAATTTAGAAGAGTATTATTCTCCAAAAGAAAAGCAGCATTTTACGTGTTCTTGCATTTTCAACTCTGTCAACAATCACTAGATCTAGTTGTGGCGTTCGTCTGGGCCACCGGAAATGCGCAGGCGCATTACCGTTTATGTGACGTCACGCGCGCACCTGCCAACAGAACGTTTACGAGGTCACAGGTTCGATAACTCTGCTTAGACTCTTTGCTGAGCCATAAGTAAGCCCGTAGAAAGGATGCATGAAACTGAAAATGTTTTTCGTAAAAGCGTGGGCTCGTACGACGAGTTGGTTAATGGTAACAAAATGTACACCAACATACTTAGCAAGAAAATATTTATTCTAACAAATTCACTTCACTTTTTGTCTTATTTCAGCAACATCAAAAGGGGGATCGCCAGAAATATGCTTCACGTATGGCATCCCGGTGGGGAATCGAACGTGATTTTCGGTGTGACGAGAGAATGCTTTTACAACAAGACGCTAAAAATTGTTGGCAGGGAAAAGTTAATAATTTCACGATTTTCTGTCCTGCTGTTTTCCACACCACAAATTAAAAAGCCGTTTTCACAAACCTTCATTAAACTCGCCAATGCTCCAATAGCTAAATATTTGTACAGACTGTAGTATTGGAAACGTTGCAAGGGCAAGAAAGTTAGGAAACGTGATGGAATTTCGGCTTTATGTTACGTTCACCTCAGAGGCGAATCCAACGGCGGTAGGAATAGTGCTGATATTTCAAGGATCAGTGCCATTGAGGACCGCGGATAACCAGTCCTGACATGTGAGTGAGTGAGTGAATGACCATTGCTTAACGCCACATCAGCAATCTCTTTTTTCCAACCAACCATATTAAACCAAAACAATGAAAGAGATGTTGCAGATTACAAACATCATGTGTATCCCACTTCAGAAAACATGATCTTATCATACAGATTGCTGATTTGTAAATATGCTAAAATCAAGTTATTAGAAACATATCTTGAACGTTCAGATATGCTTTCAACCTTACCAAAGACTTTTTGCACATATACAAATTCCGAACATCCAACCAAAATTCAATGTTCAATGGGGCTATGCTGGTTTTATTGTGCTAGCCAAACAAGATACCGTGCCATACCCTTACTCAGACACATTTTACTGTCCCCGAACCGACTAGTCCTTGTTTAATGCATTTAACACGGAGTACAAGGCAAGATAACAAAAAGTACCATATTTCAACATCCTTTCCTGTGACGCAGCCGAGTAATCGAACATTTTTCGAAGGTCTACATTAAGGCTGCGCAATAAAACCGGTTTACCGGTATTTACCGGTTTTAACATAAAATCGATACGTATTGCGATACGCTGATCGAAAACCGGTATTTCGACATGCATTCGGGAAACTACGTAACACTCGGAAGTCTTCGGATATTTCCGTTTTTCACACCGGAAGTCAAGTTTAGGTTCGGTTTGAAGTTGTGTTCTTACGTTTTGTTCCCAAATGTTCTGGATCTGAATGTTTTAAATATATACTCATTAATGACCTGTAATCTGATATGTCCTGACCAGGTCAAGGTGCTGTCCATAATCTCAGGGCTTTTTTGGAGAGTGGAAAAACTAGTTCAAACTAGTAACCACTGTGTTGATTGTTCTTTTCCTTGTTTCATTTGTGCCAAATATTATTTATTTTGTCATGATTAAAAGTTTTTTATTAAAGCTTAATCAAGCACAGTGATTTGTTGTGTTTTTGCTATATAAATCAAGCATTAACTCGATTATAAGTAGTTTTTTTTCAAAAATAATTCTTGCAATATATTGCAATACATATCGCAATATATGCTTTCGCATCGCAATATGAAAATTCTCTGCAATACCCACCCCTAGTCTACATTCAAGTAGTAAAATGACCGACAATTTGTCCGCCATGTATTCCCTGATCAGTTCATATCACGTCACAGCTTAATCATTCAGCATATAGGTTGCCTGCCAATTGTAAAGGATACATAACATTGTATAAAGGTTTACGACGGACTGACCACAGACAATTAACCCGTTTGACATGAAGATGCTTTAAAACTCAGCGAGATATCTCTATAGTTGTTTTGGTTGGTGTTGTTTTACGCCGCACTCAGCAATATACCAGCTATATGGCGGAGGTCAGTAAATAATCGAGTCTGGACCAGACAATCCAGTGATCAACAGCATGATCAATTGGCATACGATGACAACCAAGTCATCGAGCCTGACCACCCCGATCCCGTTTGTCGCCTCTTACGACAAGCATGGGTTGTTGAAGACAAACTCTAACCCGGATCTTCACCCCTGTAAGGGTTATTACCTAACACTGTTTATTTATATATGTATATTCCAACAAGTTCAGTTATAGTTTAATCGATGATTTAATCGATGTCATAAGCGAATAGGGATTCCGGGTCAGAACAGTTCCCAAGTACCTTGTGTTTGTAGCCGGGTGCGAAAACGGGGTGATCCAGTTTAGCAACTAAGATGATTGACTGCGTGACATGGCGTCTTCATAGCGTGTTGCGTTGCTGTGCATGTAGCCATTGGTTTGCTTGCTGTGACATAACTGGAATAGTGTTCAATGTCGCTGTATAACACAGTGTTCTCGCTCATACCTTGGACGATATCAGATGAGTAAACATTTACAGATTCATCCCAATAGTTAACAAACCTTTATCATAAAAATTGTCTGTTGTGAATTTGAAGATATAGAAGCTGAACAACGAGTTTACGAGGATGAAGGTGACAGAGGCTGTTTATCAAATTTCAGAGTGGTTGATTTTCTTGTAATACCCGCGTATCGCAAAACTTCTTATTGCCAGAACTGATCGTCCACAGGTCAGTCTTGTGCATTACATTACAAGACATGAGTACACTTCTATACTGGGCAGTAGTTCGTTGTACATGCAGTATATTTAAGAATGAACTTTTCTCAATTCAGAATAGTGGTTCCAAGTGATGATAAATTGAAATTCATTCACCGAGCACGCGTATTTCTTCACCCTTGAGCTTTAAGACGCGAAATCGAGTGAATCGTGGTAACGTCCATATTTTACGAACGCTTCTTCATGACAAACGTTCCTCCTTCTTTCGTGTGCGATCCTAGCACTGAGGGTATCGTGGTCTGTGTAAAATATGGCAGTAATACGACGGCTGGAGCGCTATGTAACATCGCTAAGGAATGATGCCATATTATATGAAATGCTTCAAATCCGATGACAACCGTGTGTTTATTTTAGTACTGAAATAAATATACGAGTTGTTTAATCATTTGTAAAACTCTATATATTCAATGAGGACATTTATGTTCAATATTGCGCACGATTAGCCAAATTATTCCATAGCACTATTAACATTTAGATTTGACATGTGTGAATATATCAGGCATGCATGAAACACTAGAGGTTAAATATTCCTATTGTCTTCCTCCTCTGAGCCCTAATGCATAGGGCTTGCAGGGTTTGGTATTCGTGCAATCTGGACTCCTCCTTAATAGTATTCTATCACAATACCACATACATACTGGATAAACTAGGATGCACTTTGTCAGGGCCTTCAGCCAATCACGAGAGCGCAAAGTAATGAGTGAGTGAATTGCACTCAGCAATATTCCAACTACTAGTATATGGCGGCGGTCTGTAAATAATCGGGTCTGGACCAGAAAATCCAGTGGTCAACAGCATCAACATCGATCTACGCAATCGGGATACAATGGCATGTGTCAACCACTTCAGCGAGACTGACCACCCGATCCCGTTAGTCGCCTCTTACGACAAGCATGGGTTACTGAAGATAAATTCTAACCTGAAGCAATTAGGTGATGGTTGTTAAACCTCCGGAATGTCAATTCCTATAATTCGAGCAAGTCAGGATTTTACAATAACTATTTAAACGTTGACAGTCTTTTCACTCTGAAACAAATTTTGATACTCGTGTATTCAGTTCAATCGCCGCGTGTAATATTGAACTCAGGTTTCGCTTCCTGGCTCGAGCGGCTGATAAGTGGGATAAAACGTTTACACAATACCATATTAGTATATAACAAGGACTCATAAGTATCATTCGTGCCAGCTAAATAACTGCATCAGGATAATCTGTACCAAAAGTTACATTATGTTATACTGTAATAGAGTCTACCTACCTGCTCGAATTAAGATCATTGCCAAAGGTTCTATGAAACCAAACGAAAATAACGAAAATTTAAACCTATCAGAAACAAAAACCGATGCCTTACAAACGTCAACATGCCAAATAAGAAAATCCCCAACGTGTTTGCCATAAACATTTCAAATTATTATACGTTGAACGATATATGTTGACTACATCGCTGATGTGCTCTAGAACGCGACGTGGGATGATGCAATACACAAGCATCCATAGCGACGTTCGAATGACGTAATGGCTTATGACGTCAAAGTAAGATGACGTCACCAGCCGGTAAGGGTCAAACAGATGTGATACCTTGCCTCAATCGAAGGTGTGAGGTTCTGAGGTAAATCAACTGAGATAGTGAGAACAATATGGACAGGAGTAATCTGGAAACCTCTGATGACATAACCAGAGAAATTGCCAGAGAGGGCGACAATCAAACCGAAAACGAGATCTATCTTGAGATTCTATCAGATCTATTTCCGAACAGTTCCAAGACATTTGAAAGTCACCATGAAGATTTCAAAGAGACACACTCTCAACCGCCCACCGTCTCTGCAAACAAAGAACCTGACCAACAACCAACGAGCTCTGTTCAGGATCTGCTGTCCCTCCTGTCCCAAGGAGGCATCAGCGAACATCAGTCTGATATCTCGTCACCATGCAGCGTCCCCGACTTTGATTTGTTCCAGGACATCGCCAGTGACAACAGCATCGACTGGGAAAATGCCTCATCCAAAGCCTTGTTGCAGACTGTGCACACGGACCACCCATATCTAAGCCACACTTCCAGCAATCAAGGGGAAGAACAGGAACCATGTAAAACATCAAGCTGTTCTTCCATCCCGGACGCCGAGTTAATCCATGATTTCTTCGTACACACAACAAACATGATAGCCTATCAGCCATTAGGAGACGTAGGAAACCAGTGTCGGCCTGTACACATCACCCCAACCACACTGATAGGTTGTCCTGAACTGATCACGTCATCTGCTGTGGATGAGCAATTTCAGAACCCTGTGACAATTCCCGAGAAACAAGCCCCAAAGAAGTCGCCCGAAGCTCTTTCGTCCACCGCGAAGATACTCACCATCACAAGCGAAAATGCCTCTAAAGTCATCCAGTCACGACCAAAATTACTACAGAGAGAAAGCACAATGACCACAGATACGCCATGGAAACCAGCTGCATCACTTGATCCACACCACTCTAAAATTCGTAAAAGCACTTCAACGGCATCAAAAACGACAGATTCTCCACCACCGACATTAGTCGATCATATACCTAACGATGGCAAGATGCAAAACTCATCACTCCCAAAACAAGTGGAAATAAGTAATCGTGAAGATGAGGCGAGCACGGACAACCCTAAACATGACAATAACCAGTTAAAACATGGTGCTGATAAAAGTAAATTAAAGGACAATGACAGCTGCCAATGCTTGAAAGACGGGTCGTCTGTCGAACAAACGGGTATGGCTCTTACAACCTTAGGCGAGTCTGAATGTCTGAGCGAGAACGACGTCAAAGCCCTGTGGACGGCAGAGTGTAAAGCCGTATTTGAAAAAGTCCAGGAGGAAAGCCTCCTTAACTGTGCCCTGACTCTTCTGCTGAAGGGGTGGGAGAACTACATGTCCTTGACATTTGAAGACGTCCAACAGCTTGAGATAGACGCCGCAGGTGAGGGAAAGTACTGTGATGAAGTCATCGAAATGCTGGAGGACAAAGACAGATATGTATGGCAGATTATTGAAGAAATGGAACCAAGAAACTTTTCATTCAATTGGACTAGCGAGTTCTAAACAACTATTTTTTGGTTATGTAGAAATCATGTTCTTGAATTATAACTGGTTTTGATAGTAGTGCTTGATTTATTGAACAGATTTTACTTACTTTCGATTTCTAGGAAATGTACAAGTGTATACTCTTTTTCAGGTTCTACACATATATAGCTATTTCACTTTATAGGTATTTATACATCCACAGGTTATTATACGAAATAAATAGGTCAATGATAACATGCCATTCTTTACCTGTGTATTCCTGTTGCAGAAGGTTTAAGAAACAAGGGAGGCCACTCCCAGGATACAACAGAATGTATTTTACAGAACTTATTTTGATAAATATCAGCTAGGGCAGTTAATGAGATTGTCACATGAAACTAAATCAAACATTAATCCAAACTTCAACATGAATTTCATCTAGCATGCAATTTTTAATAAACAGATAGTAGGTGTGTGATAGAGGCCTTTTTAGCAAGATTAATTACTGTGTGATCACTGCTGGTGTAGTGGTGGCAAAGTGAGACTAAACCAGCAATGTGAACAAGCATGTCAATTATTGTTTCTGTTGTTCCTGGGATAATGATGTTTACAAAACAAGGATATGCATTTGACATAAGTGTCAAAGTGTAAAAGTCCAATATATTAATGTCAAAAATACATATGTTGAGCCCCACCACAATATACTCACACACTAAATTGTATTACTGTTTTTTAATTAAAATGGCTGAGTATTAGCCACTGGAACTGTGGTCAAAATGTACAAAAGTCAAAATTAAAAATATCTAAAAAATAAAATAAAACAGAACAAACATGAAAGTTGGCAATATCCTTGTCTTGTAAACTATTATGTAAAATGTTTTGGGTCTAAATTTGTTAATCATGTTCTCATGGATATTTCCAGGACGACACAGGGATAAAGATGTGTTTTGTTTCATGTACAGTTCTCTTAATCACTAGTTGTGGTTGGTTGTTGTTGAACACCACACTCAGCAATATTCCAGCTATATGGCGATGGTCTGTAAATAATTGATTCTGGACCTGACAGTCCAGTGATCAATATGATAAGCATCGATCTACACAACTGGGATATGATGACATGTGTCAACAACCAAGTCAGCGAGCATGACCACCTGATCCCGTTAGTCGAATCCTGAAACCAGCATGCGTTGCTGAAGACGAATTCTAACACAGATCTTCACGAGTCACTAATAGTGAAAAGAACATAATAATATGTATATGTTTTTATTTACATACTGTTTTTTGCCTTTACAGTAAACACCAAATCTTTGAGCTGATTGAAATGATGGCCATTTCTTGCTGTCACAGAATCAATCACAAAATACATACAATTACCTGAGGTTTGTGTACTACTTTCAATAGCTGTCATACACTCCAAATATATGGGCTCAAAGTCCCATACAGTACAAGCATTACATTTTAGCTTGGATAACTGTAACTCCAACATGTGAATACAGACATCAAGATCACTTTTGAAAGGCATGAGCATATACTCATATGTCCAAAGGTCACAGACCTTATCTCATCCATTACTACAGCGAGGACAGTCAAGGAGCATTTCATCACTTTCATACATAATCAAACTTTTAATTGTGAGTTCCATTAGGAACTATCTAGGACACCAAGTCTGACATATTCCCCTGCGATGTCGATATTAGCTAGTTCCTTCCATCGATCCAGCCAGATCTGATGGAGACATTCTTCATCCACCTTATCAAGATGGGAGCATGTGAAAACCAGTCCACGCAGTGGATGCAGCGGGTGGCTCAGCTTGTCATTGACTGCATCCAGAAAATTGGAATCTAAGGGAGACCTTATTGCACAACCTTTAGCAAGTATCTCCTCAAGGGAGCAGTTATTTTTCACAGACTCTTGAAGGAGTTCCTGTATGACACTGTTGTCCACCTTTGTGTTACAGGATATGTCCAGCCTCTTCAGACCCTTGTAGAGTGATGGCACTCTGAAATACAGTATATTCACTTCCTAATTCACTTTAAGTAGTAAACAGTGTTTCATCGTTGATTACATGCATTTTCACAGAACCAAACAAAAATATTTTTCATTATTTTGAACGAGAGTTACTTAAAGTAATGTTTAGGTACCAAATAGCATACATTATGAGTCTAATAAATTATTTTAGGGTGTTAAGATCTCACAAATATGAGCTAGGGTTATGCCTTAAGCTGAATAAATGTCAAGATGTTTCACAAATCCAGTTGTTCAATTACCTGGTAACAAAGTAACCATCATCAGCTGTGAGGTGGCAGGCTGAGAAATGAAGATCCTCTAGAATACATCCAGCCTGCAGGCAGAACGACACATCACTTAACACACATCACATAACACCAACAAGGGAGGTAAGATACAGGTTTGGATAGTTGCACTAGGGCAAAGGCACCCTCCACCAGATGGAGTTTCTGGGGCTTCTACCTTCCCTACACTGGAGCACATTTAGCTCATATGGTGTCATTGAGGGCAAGTACATTGTTTACAATCCCAGTAGGTTGAAATAACTTTTCACTTTCTAGTGTCTCATTAGCAACCTTGGTTGTATACTCCCCAGGGAGTTGAGCATGAAAATCAAGTGCACAAAGCTCCATTGACCACTGTATAAATACCATAGTGCCATGAACATTCTCTAGGAGGGTGAAATTACACTCGCCTTTAATTAATTTGATCAATATATAGAACAAACTGAAAATTCAGAAACACAAATTATCTGTTCCTCATAAGTGAATGCTCTCAGTCCTTTGAAAAATGCAAGGTTTTAACTAATTCTTCACTGGGGACAGATAATCTCAAGTTGCAGGCAGCTTGATTGTTATTCTCCACCTATTCCTAGAATCATGAATGTACGAGGTGAGGTGAGGTGAAATTGGGTTTAACGTCGTGCTTGAGAATATCTCGCTCATATGACGACGTGCATGCATGTGTATGTGTATGTCCGACTGCTTGTACTAGCCCAGACTTAGGCTGGTTTTATAGTGCTAGCCCACTGAGATACCATGCCGCAGTGAAGCATGAATACCCCACTCAGACACATTATACTGACTCCGAGCCGACCAGTCCTTGTTGTACCCATTAATGCCGAGCGCCAGGCAGAGACCAACAAGTACCATATTTTAACGTCTTTTGGTATGAGGCTGTCGGGGATCGAACCCGCGACCTTCCGCTCTCCGGGCGGACGCTCTAACCACTACACCACGGAGGCAGTCCATGAATGTACGAACAGTACACCTGGCAGAATACCTGAGTTAGATACTGCTGCAGATGAAGAGTGAGATGACTGACGCTGGTGCCAGCGTGTGTCTCAGACAGGTCAAGGGTTGTCATCCGCTGGTGATTGAGGCACTTCAGCAGCTGCTCCAGGCCCAGAGAACCAAGTCGATTTTCGGATATGTCCAGCTTCTGCAGACTGGATGCTGAAAACATAATTAATAAATTTTATATCTGTTTTGAATCATCTTAATGTCATGACTCTCATTAGGTATATATTCAGAGAGAACCCACCTTGCATGGCATCTGCAAGCGCCAGTCTGTGCTGAGAGAAGAACTTCGCTGTCAGCTGACAAGCAGACAATGTGAGGTCAGTGAGACAAGGGAGACAACTCAGTAGGGTTGCCATACAGTTGGTAGAGTTATCTCCAATGGGATTGTGCGAGAATGCCAATGTTACAAGTGACTGAAATTGAGATAAAAAATGCCTTGTCAGATAGACATGCTCATGAATTATTTTGACCTGATTATGATTTACAATGGAATATGTGAAGAAATGAAAGAAGTACAATCCTTGGCCATTAGATAGGATAACTGGCATGAGCACAATATTTGAAATCTAACCATCACCCAGAAATAAGTGAAACATGACATTACAATGTTTCTGGGATGAATAAGAAAAGCAATATTCCAGCAACATCACGGCAGGGGACACCAGAAATGGGCTTCACACATTGTACCCATGTGGGGATTCGAACCCGGGTCTTTGGAGTGACTAGCCAACGCTTTAACCATTAGGCTACCAAACCGCCCCTCTGCATTGAAACCATGCAGCTATATTCCTACATTGTGGTATACTTATGAAACCTGCACATGTTAAATACTAAACTACTAAACAAATAGTACAGCTTTTATCAGTTTTCCACATATAATTTGACACATACAACATGTATATAATTCATTGATAACCTTTTTTTACCTAAATAATGAATTGAGAGAAGCAGCAGAAGGTTTTGTACCTTAAACCTCACACAAAATATGATATATTGCAATGATAATAAAACCACATAATTAAAATAGTGCTTGCCCAGGAGGTAAAAATTCTAAATATTTGTGACAGGAAACAGGAAACATTATGGAAACATAATACATGTAATTACATGACATACTTCCATGTTCCCCATCCAGTCCTATAGTCAGTATAGCCCAAGTTTCTACCTACCTGTAGAGGCCTACTGCCTGACTGGTGGCCTGCCTGCACTGTGTCACCATGGACATACTTCCATGTTCCCCATCCAGTCCTATAGTCAGTATAGCCCAAGTTTCTACCTACCTGTAGAGGCCTACTGCCTGACTGGTGGCCTGCCTGCAGTGTGTCACCATGGACATACTTCCATGTTCCCCATCCAGTCCTATAGTCAGTATAGCCCAAGTTTCTACCTACCTGTAGAGGCCTACTGCCTGACTGGTGGCCTGCCTGCACTGTGTCACCATGGACATACTTCCATGTTCCCCATCCAGTCCTATAGTCAGTATAGCCCAAGTTTCTACCTACCTGTAGAGGCCTACTGCCTGACTGGTGGCCTGCCTGCACTGTGTCACCATGGACATACTTCCATGTTCCCCATCCAGTCCTATAGTCAGTATAGCCCAAGTTTCTACCTACCTGTAGAGGCCTACTGCCTGACTGGTGGCCTGCCTGCACTGTGTCACCATGGACATACTTCCATGTTCCCCATCCAGTCCTATAGTCTGTATAGCCCAAGTTTCTACCTACCTGTAGAGGCCTACTGCCTGACTGGTGGCCTGCCTGCAGTGTGTCACCATGGACATACTTCCATGTTCCCCATCCAGTCCTATAGTCAGTATAGCCCAAGTTTCTACCTACCTGTAGAGGCCTACTGCCTGACTGGTGGCCTGCCTGCACTGTGTCACCATGGACATACTTCCATGTTCCCCATCCAGTCCTATAGTCTGTATAGCCCAAGTTTCTACCTACCTGTAGAGGCCTACTGCCTGACTGGTGGCCTGCCTGCACTGTGTCACCATGGACATACTTCCATGTTCCCCATCCAGTCCTATAGTCTGTATAGCCCAAGTTTCTACCTACCTGTAGAGGCCTACTGCCTGACTGGTGGCCGGCCAGCCTGCCTGCAGTGTGTCACCATGGACATACTTCCATGTTCCCCATCCAGTCCTATAGTCTGTATAGCCCAAGTTTCTACCTACCTGTAGAGGCCTACTGCCTGACTGGTGGCCCTGCCTGCACTGTGTCACCATGGACATACTTCCATGTTCCCCATCCAGTCCTATAGTCTGTATAGCCCAAGTTTCTACCTACCTGTAGAGGCCTACTGCCTGACTGGTGGCCTGCCTGCACTGTGTCACCATGGACATACTTCCATGTTCCCCATCCAGTCCTATAGTCTGTATAGCCCAAGTTTCTACCTACCTGTAGAGGCCTACTGCCTGACTGGTGGCCTGCCTGCAGTGTGTCACCATGGACATACTTCCATGTTCCCCATCCAGTCCTATAGTCTGTATAGCCCAAGTTTCTACCTACCTGTAGAGGCCTACTGCCTGACTGGTGGCCTGCCTGCACTGTGTCACCATGGACATACTTCCATGTTCCCCATCCAGTCCTATAGTCTGTATAGCCCAAGTTTCTACTCCACCTACCTGTAGAGGCCTACTGCCTGACTGGTGGCCGGCCAGCCTGCCTGCAGTGTGTCACCATGGACATACTTCCATGTTCCCCATCCAGTCCTATAGTCTGTATAGCCCAAGTTTCTACCTACCTGTAGAGGCCTACTGCCTGACTGGTGGCCTGCCTGCAGTGTGTCACCATGGACATACTACCATGTTCCCCATCCAGTCCTGTAGTCAGTATAGCCGGAGTTTCTACCTACCTGTAGAGGCTTACTGCCCGACTGGTGGCCTGCCTGCAGTGTGTCACCATGGACATACTTCCATGTTCCCCATCCAGTCCTATAGTCAGTATAGCCCAAGTTTCTACCTACCTGTAGAGGCCTACTGCCTGACTGGTGGCCTGCCTGCAGTGTGTCGGTGAAGGTCTTCAATCCAACTGTGGTGATGTCATTCCCACACAGATTCAGATATGTTAGACCAGGCAGGGAACATACTGACTTTGACAGCGTGGACATTCCATTGTCACCAAGACGATTGCCTACAGCAGTATGTATACTTTCAATCAAAACCACTTGATACCAAGGAGAAAAGTTACTGGTCTGAACAAGGAAAGTCTCCTTGACCAAGTATGGCCTAGTAACTGAAAATCACAATATTTCTTTACAGCTATGTTTATGAAATTATCAATATCAATATTCTCACAATATTCATGATTGAATAGTAAAAAAAACATGTTATGGGCACATGGCCCATGTTTTTGCACAAGGCTTCAGCTGCCATGAAAGGCAGCATACGTTCATTAAATGGTGTATATCGGAGGACTTCCAGGTAAGTCATATATATCCTAGAATCAGATTCACAAGGATTGTTTATATTTATCTTCATCAGTGAATCCCAAATCATGGCTTTCTGTCAATGGCTTCCTACTGACTTACTCTGAAAGTCGAGGTGCTTCATGTTGTTCTGTCCCTCCAGGGCTCGACACACAGGGTGTATCTGGGTGGACCTCAATGCCAGACTCCGCAGAGATAGACAGCCTGTGCTGTCACATGACTGCAGTAGGCTGACGATGTTCCGATACTCCACTGGAACACAAACAAACAATAGAATCAAACTCTTCTGACTCTCCATTGGAACACAAACATACAACAGACTTTCACAAATAATCACACAACTCTTCAGCATCATAAACTGAGACAATTTTTCATCTCCCTAAGGCAAGAGTGTTAAACGAATATAAAATTCAAGCTCAGCTGGGCAAAGGGGGGAAAATTTCAAAATAAATACAAAAAACAAAATCTTGGACTAACTGAAGTCCAATCTAATGCCCCAAATAACAATGAGCGAGTCCATCGAGTCAGAAACATCTCGGCCATATCAATATCTGTTATAGTAGGTTTGGCTCAAAATGGGACTGATGACTTGCAATCTAACTTGAAAACTAATAAACATATAATACTTATTGAAACGCTGATCGTAATCAAATCATCAGACCAACTCTGTGAGTCTTTTGTAGAATGTATGTCCTAAAATTAAAAAAGTTGTTTAACAAACTATCATTAAAATATTTACACAGTTCACTATTTGTTACGAGGGAGGAATGCAAAGAGAGGAACAGCCAGGTGTGCAAAAAAGGATGGAGACAGCACAGCACAGGTAAATGATTCAATAACTTTATCGGCACTTGTGCATGTGCTCTGGTACACCTGTCTGAGTGTTAAATGATTATAGAGTTGGTCTGATGATTTGATTATGATCGGCATTTTATTGAGTGTTATATGTTTATGAGTTTTCGAGTTAGATTGCAATTTATCAGTTCGCTTTTGAGCCAAACTATAAATACTTTGTTTGTTTGTTGTTTAACGCCATACTCAACAATATTCCAGCTATATGGCAGTGTTTTGAAAATAATCGAGTCTGGACCAGGCAATCCAGGGATCAAAAACATGAACATTGATCTACGGAATTGGGATACGATGACATGTGTCAACCAAGTCAGCAACCCTGACCCCCCGATCCTCGTTAGTCACCTCTTATGACAAGCATGGGTTGCTGAAGACCAATTCTAACACGGATCTTCACAGGTTCTGTTAACTGAAGTTTGTTTCCATGGAGACATAATGTTAACCGATGTCCTCCTACCTGCCCTGGTCAGTCTGCAGGCCTGTCTGTATCTCTGGTGTAGAGGCTGCATGTCCCAGCTGTCCACCATTGCATCCACCTGTACACAGTGTTACAAAATACCTTACTGTACTTTCAGGATAACTTCACACACAGTGTCATCTACAGTAGATCCTTATAAAAAAAATGATAATTAGATACACCATTGCATCTTGTCTGGGTATTTTTTAGAATACTTAAACCCCTGGATGCCGAGTTTTTTTCAGGCGCACCTTTTCATAATGTTTGAAAAGTGAGCGTTGTACGAGAATTGCGCTCGCATGGTCCTGGATCTACGTAAGGCTATAAAATTACACAGAAATGTACAACATTAAATTTCATATCCGTTGGTATAAATATAAGTGCAACTACATCGGTGGTTGAGAAAAAGACCTTGCTGAACGTTGTCCAAATTTTTGTTATGCGTTAAAAAACAGTAAATTTCTCCGCTGTTTATCGCGCACCGATAAAAGCACTGTGCTACGATTTTTTTAATTTGGCATCTTTACGGAAAGTGTGAGCAAAGAAAATACAAGCTGATATCTGAACGACATAAGTGTATATGAATTGGGTTTATGTGCTTATGCATAACGTTATACGCTCAACATTATAAATGACTCGCAATAAATGTCAAAAATGGATTTTCTTCTATGACGTCAAACGAAGACAGAGAGGTCAAACACGTATAATGATAAGGGGGCATACCTCTGTTATGCTTAACACTAGGTCAATGTAACTCTGACCACATGGAGAGAATTTGTTGTGGATACGAACGCTATATTTTCAGTATCTTTTGTTCACGGTGAACCAAACTATTCCAATTCAAAGTTCCCCAATGTGAGCAGATACACTTTGGTAGTTTCACAATTTATAAGAAAAGATGACAACATACTACAAGTGAAATCACGTAATAGCGATTTGGATGGCCCTATCCAATATATAAGTTAGTTCTTAGATTCCCATATTCTCCTGTTTGTGTAGATGTATTTTGACTAATTTAGTATCGTTATTACCAGAGTACTAGCCATATCTTCAAATGTAATGAAATTGCTGAAAATAATACAACATTTTAGTTGACGTCATTGCTTGTTTTATGCATTTTGCGACATCGGAAAGACAACATTGGTATGCTGATTAGGATATATCCACCTAATGTCCATTAATTGTATAAAATGTCTCGGCTTCTATGTCAGATTTGAACACTCTTTAGACAAAAACATAAAATGACTGATTTTTCCATTTAAATAGTGTCCTGAATATATCAACATTTTGACGGTTTGACCGTGTATCTTATTGTGAGCAACACGCTCACCTGTTTGGCATCAATTTAACGTAAATGAAAAATAATATTTCACAACAACCGAATATTTTGTTTAGGATAAGAACTTTCTTTGTTTATGATTATGTAGCTATTTCTTCTCTTCATAAGTATGCAATTAAAGATGCAAAAAGATAATTGCTTTTTATATATGGAACTATATATTAGAATATGGATGTAAGATTTGTCCAAATTAAGACATGACATGGTTTATACAAGGTATATTTTTAAACAATTTTTGTATAAATATAGTTAGACAGGGCTCCAGATTAGGGCCCATTATCAGCGTATGTCTGGATAAAACATATGCACCATATACAGTAGGAAATAATTTAGAAAACGTACACATGCACCACAGCAATGCTATATGGTCTTGGAATCATTTACAGACGTATTTATATGAAAGAGTGTTGTTTTATTGTTTATTGACCTGTTTACACAAGAGTAGTAATGTTGTGGTGCATATATGAAACGTAAACACAAGATTACTGATACGCCATTACATTCCATTCAGTACTCAAAATGTACTCTTTAAAGGTCACATGCAACCAAAATCAAACATAATTAAAACACAATTATCACTTATTCATGACATATAATATACATTGCTGGTTATGAAAAAACATATAAACAAAATTATGAGCTACAATGCGCGCAAATCAAAAGTGCAATATTGTGTACTTGGGTTTTACTTCCCAAGAAACGAAGCAGCGGGATACCGAACCCAGTCAGAGCGGGTGGGTGTGCACTCAAGTGTAACAGCTGGTTCATTTGCAGATGCCCTCACGGCTCATTGTGTGTGTATATATAGAGATGTTGGGTTTTGTAAATACATGCTCATTTTTTGTGTATAACATTTTGCAATCAACAGACATCATAACATGTCATGTGTTTAAGTATCACACCTGCCTGTCTGTGTAATTACATAATGTGACAGAGACCGAACTCGGGCCATAAATCAATGTGTTTTGTTTATGGTGTATAGCCTGATTGGTGTTAAGTTCAAATTGCATGTGGTCAGTGATGCGCAGTTGTGTATTGAATATTGTCATTAGCAGACAGGCAGGCAGACACAGGGTGTCAATAAAACAAGACATTTAGTTTTGTCTGTGACGACATTTCTACATCACAGTTAGAAATTCTGTCAACGCTAAATAATGACATTGCTTTTAAGTATCGAACTGAGAAAGTGACTCGGTAAGAAGAGCGTGTGGTGAAATAGACAAATGAAATTATATAAACAGTTTATTTACTGTCATAACATATAAAAGCTCAGCCTGTGAGATATCAACAAAACATTTGGAAAATTGCTCACACCAAAGCCTTCACCGAGTATTCACCAGACACCCGGCTTCCAAGTTCGCGCTGAACCTATTGCACTGCGCCGCGATGCTCTGGCGCGAGCCCAGCTGTTGAAACCAGTTTTCCCGAAAAGTCGGGGAAAATTAGTGAATCGTTTGAACTCGATTTGGCATCGGGGTTTTTCAACTTTATAAGTTGAATTTGCATTTTTGATGATTTGTTTGGGTAAGTCCATACCGAAAGGTATCAGAATCTGCAAACTTGTGTTTTACGTTGCATGTGACCTTTAAGTTTATCCAGTACTCCTATATTGAAAATATAAGGAGTACGTACTCCTGATGTTGAAAAATTATCTGGAGCCCTGGTTAGAGTTTGATATCCTGTCATCACAACATTATTTAATCGAATATGAATTGATTATATTATCGAAAACAATGATAGTGAATCAAAACACATTTCCGACAAACGTGCACCTGGCCAATCAATATACATCATTGTTTTGTCTATAAAACGACACAAAAATATGCAATGAACAAGACAATTCCTTTAAATATGTGTGCATATATATTTCATAACATATATAAATCATTTTCATTAATATTATCAGTTTTACTTATAATGTTGAATTATATCGCCGTTCATTAACCTGTTCATATGAAACTGCAATATTAGTCCAAATGCCTTGAATATTGTACATCATAGGAACTAAAGTAGTTGCAGTTATGGCTACTTTTGATCTTCTAACACTTGTGTAAAGGTTTAGAATATAGTGTACTGCACTAAATGTGTCAATTTCTTATGTAAATATTATTCAAACAATCAAAAACTTTCAAAGAATAAAACACAGTAAACCCTATATGCATGATATGATATGATATTGAACAAGGCTTAATGTAAATACTGAAGTCAGTTTCATGAAAAAACATCTAACTAAACGCAAAATATACATCATAATACTGACAGTGTAATCGGTAGGATTGGTCGATTATGTTTACTCTTGTTCAACCGACCTTCACCTCAAAGAAATTGCCTAATATGTACAACAATGTTGACGTATGACATCACTACTGTTGATCGATTTCTTACAAAATGGTGGCTTTGCTGAAAATGCTACGCAGTGTAAAATCGGAATTTGTCTTTGTTTACATTTCAAACAGGCGCAGTCTTTCGAGCACAGCATTCGTTTTCACACCCATTATGGTTCGTCTCATTTTATCTAGACAGTTGGTATTGGTGACAAAAACCATTTGTAATTCGATTCTAAAATGTATGGGGAATTCAGTGGTGCATTTTTCGAAGCTGAATAAGAAATGTACGTGATGTAGTAGGTGTCTCAATACCGGCCTTTGCGAAACATGATTTTGTAAACGCTATCCGGTAAAGCGGATAAGCACTCTACGGCGTTCATGTAAGTGTATTTTCGAAAACATCCCAACCAATTCTAGATTCATCCGCAACGTTTCAGAATTATCATTAGCGATTTCATGTAAAACTGATATCAGTGATCATGAATATGTTATTTTTGAAATTCAATACTACCAGTAATTATCCGATTTTCACATTTCAAAACATACAGCAAATAACACTGTGAATCGCAACTTTGTACTGTGTAAAAAATGGCGACATTTTCGATGAAGCCTATTTTAAAAGGTCATTTTCAGCACTCGAGCTTTGTCTAAAATAATAATGGATGGTATCAAGAAACAGGAAATCTCCCGCAGAATTCAAAACTGTGAAGTTTATTTGTGTGCGTGGGATATTTTGATTTTTATTGGACTTCAAAGTGAGGGTTGAAGGGGAAGGACATATGTCCCTGTGGCATCCAGGGGGTTAAACAATTTTATTTCCACAAAATCCTGATTCCGAGAATCAGCTCCCATTCAAGTAGATAGACACTGATCATGTTTAGTGTTCCCTATACTACTTTTCCATCAATGAACAACTTGATGCAGAGGTACAGATAAGCTGCGTATCTGCGTAATTACGCAAATATCTATTATGTGAAAACTCAATTCCTATTAAGTCTATTCCGTACAAGTAAGCTTGAATTTTTGTAAATACTCAGTAAATGTGACCTTAAATGCGTACACAAATGTAAAATCTTTGCTTGCGTACAGGTGGATAGATAAAATAACTGAGGTATATTGAGAGATTCTATTTCAGGACATGAACTTCGCAACTTGTAGTCTTCTTATCGTTTCTCATATCACAGATCAAATATAAATAACAAACACTAACATTTAAACTTTATTATGTTTTTAAAATTAATGGAAAATGGCAAAATACCCAAATGAGTTTGAGTGAGGTGAGTGCAATTTATTTGGTTACTGAAAGGAAAATTAGGATACCCAATTGAGATGAACACAAGCGAGTACATAACTCAATGACCCAAACAGTTATCTGTAGCTCTGATGATGAACAATTAAGTGGTGAACAAAGTATTTAATTTTCCCATTCTACTTTTACTTCCTGACTGTATGAATATATAAATTGCAATGAAAAGTTCAGAATTGTACAAGTCCCTTGGACTGCCACTTCCTTAAACAACAGACCATCACATGTCTACTAGTTGTGACTACGAACTACTTACCACTTCGTTGTTACTGACAACCATACACACAACATCATCCGGCGACAGGATGGCACCATCACGAGTCCTCAATGTAACCAAAGGTTTCTTCTGGTGAATTTTCTCATACCGTCGAGCAACATCCTGGGCCAGCCATGAGATGCTCTGATTGCTGTAGTGACAATTATCAATCAATATTTTCATGTAATATAATACAATAGACAAGGTAGATAGTAAGTTTCTGTGCATGATCTGCAACTAAGTTAAGAAGCAGCAAGACAGGGCAATACAGAGCATCTGGCCTTGTGCATGATTCTGTGTAAGTAAGTTTCTGTGCATAATCTGTGATTGTACTTAAGAAACAGCAATGCTAGGCAATATGGACTGTCTTGCCTTGTGTAAAGATATATAAGATACTGCATATCTGACACTCAAAATAACTGACCTGGAATTCTTTAAACAACAACACAAAGGAGTAATTTATTCAAAAATGCCTTTGTCTTTGTGGTTTGCAAACAAAAGGCACACACATTCCAGCAACACCTTAAAGCCACACTTTATCTTCCATACTGATGCCTTTGATTCCAGAGATGTGAATATAACTTACGTATCTGGGACTGGAACCAACAACATCTGACCATCAATAGTGACCTTGAGTCTCATGACCCCTGTGGAGGTCAAGGCCACACTCTGATGACTAGATGAAGGAGGACCAGTACCTGTATTAGTCATTGTTGAGAACCCATTTTGAGAAGGTCCAAAGTCATTGTTTTCTATCTGGTATACAGAAGCACTGTTTTGTGCACTTCTGTTTTCCCTGAGAGGTAAAGTTTGTCAACTTCATCTGCCTTGGCTTAGATTTAGTTGAGAGTTTTGATTGATTGGCTGAGCTGCGACTCTGTACAATATTGTCACTATTAACACCTGACACAACAAAATCATCTGTAAAATCATCCACACTCAACACATCAGGGTTTGATGGAGCTGCCTCCATCTTGTTATCACTGGCTCCACTATCATCATCATCAATCACAAAACTTTTCCTTTTGGACGTATCACATTTCTGTCGTTTGGAATCGGCTGAGCCAGACTTCCGTGACCCTGAGGTTGAAAACACTCCTCCAGTATCCAACTTCTTCCTTTTCTGAGGCTGAATGTCATCAATAAGCCAGTCATCTCCAACAAAGTCATCTGCATCTAGCAAAGCACTTGAGCACGTGGGACTCTTGGGAGTGACCGAGTTATGATACGCTGGTCCCACAACAGCAGCTCTTTGAGATGCACTACCGATACCAGACATGGCATGGCGGTAGTTGTTTGTAGCACTTCCGTGTGGACCCAAGTCCTCCAGAAGAGGATTAGGGTAAAATTCCTGGCTGGCTGTCTGAGACAGGAGAACAACTTCCTCATCACTGAAACACAAGGGCTGGATGTAATAGCAGTACAACACCACACACAGCATCAGAGCTGGGGCATCACATACCATGTCACATAAGAAAGAACTTTCATAAACTTTGACCAACTAGTGAAATGCCTAACAAGAACTCACCATTCCCCAGACAGAAAGAAGAAAAATGTTTTACTATTTCAGTCTTACACTGGTGACTCAAAGAAAATATATTTTGGAATGTCTAATGATGGTCCTGAATGACAGTATTTCCAGGCACTATGGAATGTCTTCCGCTTCAAATGTTTATCCCACTGAAGCAGGAATAGACGATCTTAGCAGAGTCATAGAGCCTGAAACTGTTCTTCAGAATAATCTGTATTGTCTTTTTGGAGATTGCATTCTTAACGAACACATATTGACTGTCACTCTCTCATTCAAATAAGCAACAGTCTCTTTAGCTGGAAGAAAGGTCGTTCTTATGTAATAGGATGTCCTGTTTAGCAGTAATAGGTGCTCAGATATGATGTTAACACAGGTTTGATAATATTTGCTGGTGCCCAAACATATTCCCCAAATTTTATTTCATTTCAGACAAAATATAATTGGGCCTAAATAAAAAATTTTTAAATGTTGTGGTTCCAATTACCCGACCGACCCTTGAATTCTGGTGCCAACCCTATTTTTTGAAGCGGTATGAATAAAATAAGCTTTCAGATACCATTGTTTTTTTTCGGGCACCGATAGACATCGGTCATTCTGATAGAGAAAGTCGACATGATGGCTGCAAGCTTGTTTAAATAAACAATTACACATTGATAAAAGAGTTATTAGTTTGTACTTTGCTTCTAAACAAAATATGTAAAAAATATTTTTTAAATCCTACCTACCTACCCTAAATTTTAAAGAGGTGTAATCGGAACCACAACATTATTTTTATTTGGCCTTGTGTTCTTTTCAAAATATCACAGTGGAATCAAAGACAGCAAGACATGTACTCTAAGGAATCCTTAACTGACTAACCTGCTGCCGCCTTCACTGTCTGAAGTTATTACAGCACGGGATGACTTACTGAAAATTGAAATATTTAGATGAAAGTAAGAAATACTGCTCAAAATGCTGTCAAAGAAGTCAGTTAATATGATCAATAAGTATCTGTCAGGTTTCAAATAGGAAACATTTTCACCTGCCACCAGTGGAGGTCCTTTTCCTCTTGACTGTGACCTTGACCTCTTGTAATGTCTGACTTTCTCTGCTGCTGCTGTCATCATCATACAGGTCAAGGACAGCTGGAGGTCGAGACCTGTCTAAAGGTCTAATGTTAGACCTTGGTATCTGTCCACCTGTAATGCAAGAGTGGGTGATTGTCTTCATGTTGCCATAAGCTGTATTCCAGTGAAATCATAGTTAGCAGAAAGTATCAGAATTGATGCTCAAACCTGACTCTGAGGTCATGCTGTCTATAAAATATCCAGAAAAAATCATTCTTTGGATTTGGTTCCTGTTTGGTTCAGAACAAACATTACAAACTTTGAAGTAAGTAATATGCCTTTTGGCACAAACTGTTCACAGCATGTGTGTGTATAACTGACACGAAGCATGTTTGTAATTAAGAAAGCCCTTCAACAAGAAAGAAGGTCACAAAGATGTTTTTTAGTCAATAGGAGCTATAATATAAAGTTAACACTATTTTTCAGGGCATTATCATTTGCAGAAGCCTTAGGTCTTTCATTAACTGCCCAACAAAGGAGGGCAGTTGAAAAGACCGAATGCATCTGCAAATGATGATGCCCTGAAAAATAGCGTTGCAGTTATTATAGCTAAAATGGATAGAATTTTTAATAAAATAAAAACATGTAATTTTCTGACTAAAATTGATATTCTATACTTATCCTGACTCATGCTAATTATGCTTGTCTCCTTCCTCTTGCGAATGATAGTGGAACACTTGAAATCCCTTGAAGTGCCCTTCTAAAAAAGCGGACGTAAAATCACTCACCCACGAGTAGCGTCCCTTTCCTCCCCTTTGGCGCCCAAATGGTCACATGATCAGCCATATTTGTCACTCTCTCCGTATGTAAGCCCGACACCCGGATTTACAGGGAAATCCAGAGTGCCATAAGAGGGGAGGTTGGGAGGGCTAACCTCATGAGTCAGGATAAGTATAAAATATCAATTTTAGTCAGAAAATTGCTTATTTTTCCTTATCCTGACTCATGCTAATTATGCTTGCAGACTCCGTCGGAAACGGTGGTGGGTCAGGCCACATTCTGGATTTACTGGTTGTAGATTTAAGTCCTGCATTACCCCTCTTGGGAACTTATGACGGCACTGTTGAAGATTCTGTTCTTTTAACTTCTCTCTGAAGAGTCTGGGGGGACCACAACTTGTCAGATTTCTTCCGAAACTTCTCCTGACATTTTCGTGTGGATTTTAGATATACTAATATTCCATTAGTTATCTATTGCAACTCCATCTCTTGATGCGTGCATCAAGTGGAGATGCGACCCTTCTTCTTGTACAAGTATGTCCTATACAAGTACAGGGTCTATCACTCATGCTAGTCTGTCCCAGACGTGTGCATGGACTTATAGCCATTGCTCTCCAGAGCGTTGGTTTTCACAAGTCAGGTGATAAAAGGGGTGAGATTTACTCAGCGCCTTTGTGGAACCGTTAGTTGTTAGTTGTTGTGCTACAACAAGTGGCCCAAACTGGTGAATGCCTGAGACGTCTTCGGTGGCAATGTCTCTGAGGTAGTGGTTGGCAAACACCGTGTTCGATCTCCAAAAGCAGCCCTCCATTATAGTTGTAATCGAGCAGTTTCCATGCAGAGCAAGTGTTGACGCCAGGGCTCTGACTTCATGTGGATTGGAGGCTTGTGCAGGCTCAAGTCCTGCTGCTTTATAGGCCCTTAGTATAACCGCTCTCATCCAGATCGATATCGTTGTCCGAGAGACTTCCGTGGGCGTCTCGTTGGATAAGGGGATGAATAGGCTTGAATTTTCGTCTCCTTGTTTTAGTTCTCTGTAAGTAGACTTTAAGTGCTCTGACTGGGCATAAGGATAGATCCTGCGTATCCTGTGGCCCAAGGACTGTAGATAGTGCTAGGATGTGGAACTGTCTGTCAGGCTGACCAGGCAGTTGGTTCTTGGCGATAAAATCCCTTCAGGGATGGTTATAGTGGACGAGATAGGGTCAGGTCATCGACTATGCTGAACAGGAGAAAGCTGAGTTGCAGCAGACTTGTTGATCTTGTTGACCCTTGTTTGTTGATGTAAAACGCCACTGTGGAGTTGTCCGTGTGTACCATGAGTCGTGCGTTCTTTAGTACGCTGGACCAATGTTGTAAAGCGTTGATTACTGCTTTCATCTCCAACAGATTGATGTGTGACTTCTGATCCTGACTCGACCACTTTCCTGCTGCCACTTCGTTGTTGAAGTGCGCACCCCATCCTTGTAGGGAGGCATCCACATAGAGATGAGTGTTGTAAACCGGCTCTGACAAAAGGTTCCTCCGCAAACGTTCGACTTCTGAGTCCACCATAGGAGATATGGTTTCAGGCTGTCCAGTAGTATTAACGGATCTAGGCTGTCTAGGTGGGCGTTCACAAATACTTGTAGTGGGCGCAACTGTAATCTCCCTCTGCGAGTCATGTCTTGAGCTGAGGTGAATAGACCGAGCATGCTTTGCCAAGCACGTAGTGTCAACAGAGAGAGCATTGCTTGAAATATCATCTGTTGTATCTTGACCCAACGATCCTCTGGAACGACTATGAGATTCAGTGGTGGGATGAGTCGAATGCCTAGAAATTGCAGATCTTGTTTCGGCTCCAATTCCGACTTGAGGAGATTTACTAGCCATCCTAGTTGAGTGAGCAGCCTGATGATGAAGTCTAGTTGCAGTCTGAGTTGACTGGGATCGTGATAAGCTTGAATCCCTTCGTCCAGGTAGAAACAACTGCATAGACCTCGACGATGTAGATATGTGACGATGGGCTTGGTCACTAAAGTAAAGAACCAGGGGGCCGACGATATTCCAAACGGTAGAACCTTCCACTGGAAGTAATGTCCTTTGAAAAGGAATCGTAGGTATTTCCTTGAGTCCTGATGTATCGGGATGTGGAGGTACGCATCTTGCAGATCTATGCTGGCGAGGTAGTCTGCTGGATGAACGAGATGTTGGAGCTGAGGAAGATGTATCATCTTGAATTTTGCCGGTCTGCGTCGATACTCCCGATTGAACTTCCTCATGTTGTAGATGAGCTGAAATTTCTTCTTGGAATTCTTCTTCGGTACCAGGAAAATTGGGGAGTAAAACCCTGGCTTGATGAGATCTTGATCTATCTCTTCTACTGCCTCTTTGTCGAGTAGGGTCTTGATAGCATCGTCCAGTTTCTCTATCTGGTCGGCTGCATAGTTGAAGGCCATCGGGTTGCTTGTGAGCGGCGGAGTGGCTTCCAACTGTATCTTGTACCATCTGCGCAGTATCTGGGATACGTAGTCATCCTGTAGTATTTTCCAATTCTCCCAGTACCGTTGAAGACGCCCACCCACTGTCGAAGGTTGTACAGGAACGGCTGGGGGTGGAAGACTCCAGTCGTTCCAAACCTGGCCTTCAGCTCTTGATTCCTCTTGCAACACTAGGTGCTCGGCCTCTTCCGGGATTACCTCTAGGAGCTCCGGTTGGGCGATGAAAGGAGCCCCATCCTCCTTTCATGCTGGAATACTTCTTTTCTCTGGCTCCCCGGACTCCTGCAAACTGAGAGACTTCTCTGACGACTTCTTCAATTCCTCCTCCGAAGATGTAAGATGCTGACCATGGGGCTCTGTATAAGGACTTGGTGAAGCGTTCACTGCAAGTGCATGCTGACAATAACCCTTGTCTTCTCAAGAGAATCATGCCCGCTGATGTGGATGCTAGGTGCTCCGACATAAACTGTGATGGTCCCTCTTCTGCATTAGTAGAGCTGAGTATATCATCCGGTCTTCTTCGGCGGATGAATTCTTGAACTTCGAGATGAGAGTTTCGTTGATAGCCCCCGATCTGGCTAATCCGAAGAAGTACGTCTGGTGGTTGTATCCAGCTGCGCTAACTTCTTATCCTCAATCTTGTAAGTTCTCTGACAGGAGTCAGTGATAATCTTGTAGTCATCATCAACCTCTGGAGCCTTCAGGAAGGGTTCCATCCTATGTAGAGGGAATTTCCTGGCGTTGAACGTCGGGATGTGCTGATTCTGCCACTTGGTGGCTTTATCAAAAGCTGCGCAGAGGTTGTCTGATACTTGAGAGATCGGGTTGATCGGTGGAAAGGTGAGCGTTGGTAGCACTCCTCACTTCAGATGGGGAAGATCGTCGTGTCCGTGAGCCTTCTCACAGGCTTCCCTCTTAATCCGAATGTGGTGGGGAGACTGTAGAGCCTTCACGCAGGCTAGTAGTCGTTGTAGAGGTCTTCATAGCAGCCTTCTCCTGAGCGGAGCGACGCTCCATCATCGACATCATCTGGTCTGTAAACTGTTGCATGAACAGTCCTGGGTTGAAGTTCTGCGTTGTCTGAAGAGACTGCTGCAGGGATGATGCATCTGATACTGAAAAGACGTCATCTAAGGCTCGCTGCACTTGTGAAGAGTTGACGCTGCTGCTATCTCTGGTACCCGATGTCTGCGTTGAATGAAGGTCTTCTGTCAATGTCTGCGCTGATAACAATGCCGATGTAGCTGTAGAAGCAGGCTTCGTCTTCTTACTGACGATGGTGAATTCAGGTATGAGGATGGGTGGATCATCATAAACATCTGCTTCTTCCGGAGGAACAATCTCGGCTGAGAAAGACCTCGTCTTCTGTGTAGAGCTGATCTTAGACTTCGCTGAAGTCTTCATGGTAGTAGCCTTCTTCTTCTGCGAAGATGATGATTTAGCCTTCTTTATCTGCGATGGGGTCAGCTCAGTAGACGATGATCTCTTATGGCCTCCGGCGTTCACCACTGGTACATCGACCTGCTCCCGAGAAACGTTCAGCAATTCACTGGAATTATGAATATCTGCAGCAGTGGTTAACACACGGTTATCAGCGCAATCACTCGATTTAGACATGACTTGTGAATACCTTCGTACCCAGTCCTTAGCACGTCTATGGATGGAAAAAAGGTAATTAGTAAATTCAACCAAAGTTAAATTTACACAAAACTTACAGCGAGAGCTGAAAGAACATGAAACAGTGCAATTAGGACATAATAAATGAGGGTCAGCCGCAGACACTCGGTACCTACAACGAATACAAGTTTTCATCAAATGTAAACATGAAGAAAACACATGTCAAACAACAGAAATTCAGATCAAATTTCAAACCGTAATGTAGAATATAATCCTAAAAACTGTATACAGCAATAATTTTGATGTAAGGTCCGAAAATATAAAAGGATATGTGCAGTATAAGGACCCAGGTGCTCTCACAACTGTCCTCAAGGGCAAAGAAGGAGAGAGTGACATATATGGCCGATCATGTGACCATTTGGGTGCCAAAAGAGAGGAAAGGGACGCTACTCTTGGGTGAGTGATTTTATGTCCGCTTTTTTAGAAGGGCACTTCAAGGGATTTCAAGTGTTCCACTATCATTCGCAAAAGGAACGAGACAAGCATAATTAGCATGAGTCTGGATAAGAAAAAATAAATGGTATCGGTTTTGAAGCATTTACTGCTAACAACAAACGATGGAGGTCACTGAAACACGTTTTACAAATATGGAAATGGCATAGAACAAAACAGACGTCACTTTTGAGAGTGACGACATTCGACCTTGACCTTTTCCCATACTACGAGCCGCCATTTTTTTTCAATGCTCAACAACGCCAAGAGTTCCAGTCGATGTTTTCATTGCTGCATGTTGTAATTTATGGTACAATTGTTAAGGTTGGCACCGGCAAGAAAGTGCATAATGGCACAGGTACATGTGAGTCGAATGTAAGTCAGAAATATCGTCAATATTGAACCCAAGTTCAAACGAGCCGTAGGTGATTGAACATCAAGAGCTGAGCTCCTTATGACGTCACCTAACAATGGGCATGCTAATGGCCCGTCGTCAAGCAATTTGGGGGCATTTTCAAGTTACAGTGGCCCGCTCATTTCTGATAAAATGCAGCATTTTAACGATAATTCTATCCATTTTAGCGATAGGTTGATATAATTGTGTGAGGCAAGAGTCTGGTAATAAGGAGGGCAGGGATTGAGGTGGGAGAATAATTTTAGTACATCTATGTGCCAGAGGCATTTGCAGCAGTCATGGGTATGACCATGCACCCATTAGGTGTCACTTCACACAAGACTAGAGTTATCTCCCCTCACCTTTCATCCCACCCGACAGCATGGCCTCAACATGGGCGTATGACAGCATCACCTCTCGGCTCAATGTGTCCTCACAACGCTGATACCAAGCTCGCAGGCAGTCTAGTGCTGTTTGGCCCTGAGGTAAAGAATCATTGTCTAGTACAGTTCAAATCTATATCAATTAGTGTTTGGACAATACATACGGTCATGATACAATAATCAATATGCAATATACATGATGCATGGAAAGGTAACAAAAGTACAATTTTACTTGACTAAAGATTCAAATGATCTGATGTACTGAAATATATAATGAACAGCCCAATAACATCAACATCCCAATAGCCATTTTACATATCCTACTGTATCAGTACATTGAGCCAGTGAGTTTGGTTTTATGCCACTTTTAGCAATATTCCAGAAATATCACGGCGGGGACACCAGAAATGGGCTTCACACATTGTAACCATGTGGGGAATCGAACCCGGGTTTTCGGCGTGACGAGCAAACACTTTAACCACTAGGCTACCCCATCGCCCCGTATCAGTACACTGACCTATCATACAAACTGGTGTTGAACTGTTATGTATTAAGATACATTAATCATTCAAACTCTTTCATCAGTAATGAAGGTTTACGTCGGGAAAATTGTAAAGTGTGGCGGAGTTTGTTGGTTGGAGAGGTGAATGCTTCTATAAATGAGCAGTGAACAATTCTACAATAATAAGATGGCAGCCTTATACCCTTAAAACCCAAACCAGTGGTCTGCAGCATGCGAGCAAAGCTGCATCTGCATCTAAATGTATCAATATTAGTTCAAACAAACAACAACTCTAAAATTTCTGAAAAAAGACAAAGGGCCATGTTTGAACAAGTGGGTTCAAATGTTTAAGGCAAAAGTTAGGACACAATCAGTCTGTTTTGTGTGCGAGTTATCTTCCAAATTGGTCATCAACCAAGTACTGTCCATAGTTGTAGCCCCATCATATTTCACTGTTTAACAGGGTTACTTACACTGGGTGCCTTCCTGATTACCCAAGCCAAACAAAAAACAACGAACCATAACATGAGACACTTATATCAACAAAAATTGAAGACAAATATTCCAAACTGATCGCGATAATTGTTCTAGTGTCAGCATACATACATCATCATCCTTGTTGTGGATATTGGCCCCATGTTGAAGCAGGATGTTCATGATCTCCGTGTTGCCGCAGTTGGCAGCATCGATGAGCGGTGTGATGCCACCGCAGTGCTTGCCTCCTCTGTCGTTGACCGTAGCGCCATGCTCCAGGAGGCACTTGACCACTTCATAATGATCATGATTGGCAGCCTCATGCAGGGGAATCCACCCACAATAATCACGGGGGTTCACTGGATGGCCCTAAAATTCAGATAAATGATTCCTGGGAGAATGAGTAGCCATAAAACTCACTGCATGTCAACAATTTTGTCGTTAAACATTGACGAGTGGGTTAGAACTACTGAAACTGATTGTGTTGTCTGTCTTGCAGAGTATATGAAGAGTCAAGCACTGATGACTTTCTAACTGATGCAAGATAAGGAAGCGGCAGGTCCTCATTCCACCAAGATATCCTAGGATAGTGGTAAGGCAATGATTAGGTTATGTGCACTGCAATAGTTGTGCTCGGATCAAATCTGCAAATGAAGCCCTGGGCCTATTTTCGAAAGTGTCCCAGCTAAGACAGATCCTACGTAGTTAAGACAGAAGTTAGGACATCCTACCATTTGGATAAGACCCATTCTCCAAATGATCCTATCCCTGTCCTAACTTGAGCTAGCAAGGATAGCGAACTCTTCAGAAGGTGAGATAGAAAAACCTTCATTAAGTTGGGGCTTCCCCTAAATAATACCCATAATTCATTCCATATAAAAACACATAATATAAGGAAATTCAGCTTTTGATAGACTTGGTAGATCTAGAAGAAATTGTTCAATATTTTCATCACATTATAGTAGTTTTAAGTTTTTGAAAATTCATTTTTCGACAAGGTGATAACAATTTTACTTCAGAATTTGAAAGTATGCCAAAAAAACAATAAGGATATTAAAGATATGTGCAAAAATATTTTCATTGTATTTGTTTTTTAATGAAAATCATGACTTGAACTCTCATTATGCGTCATCTCACAAACTGAAAAATTCACCTAGGAAATAAATAGGAGTTACTTCCCCTATCAAGTTGGCCTTGACATTGACATTTCACGAAATGTGACTGAACAGAGCAATGTTGTGATTAAAAAGGCCGAGCATAGGTAAGAATTGAACAAATCTCTTTTGTAGATCTAAAGAATATGTGCATTGCAACAAGTGTGTCTATTCATTATCGATAAATCGATAATATATACTCAAAAACCTCTTCGTAACACATCAAAACTGTGTGCTGTTGTAAATTCTAATGTAATTTAGGTGAGTTATTTTGTTTGCCAGCATCAAAATTGGTGAACAAACAATTGCAAGAACCACACTATGTTGACTTCCACGAAGATAGACTCAGGACAAGTCAGAACCTATCCTAGTATTTGTCCTAAGTTAGGATATCCTAGCGCTAGGATACTTTTGGAGAATAAGGTAGGAACCTATGATCAAAGTTAGGATATCCTAGGGCTAGAATCCTTTCAAGAATAGGGGCCCTGGTTTTGATGAACAGTTAATCTCTCTATATATTTTAAACAACCAGATCAAATTACTGGATTAACAAAAATATACCAACAAATACTTGTACAGTACCAGCTGACCATATTTCTAATCTCAAGACAGCTGACTGTGTTCATATTGTTAATACCCTGTACTACACAGAAGCAAGCGTCTGTCAGAAGCGTCACCTACCTTCTCCAGCAGTGTTTTAACTTTCTTCACATTCCCCTCTATACATGCTCGATGCAGTTGTGTCTCTCCCTTCTCATTCACCTGCAACACATCATGGCTGTGTATGAAAAACTAATCAGAAACTTGGTCGTATGAGTGTTATCCACAAATTAATGAATAGTCTTGAATGTATTTCAAACAGGCAAAATCTCATCAAATCTAATCTGAGCATAACTCTGCTAATCCTTCCATACAGACAGTTGTAGAAACAACACAGACACAGGATGTAGAGACATACATCAGTATCCAGTCCTAGCAATGATGTACACAGGATGTAGAGACATACATCAGTATCCAGTCCTAGCAATGATGTACACAGGATGTAGAGACATACATCAGTATCCAGTCCTAGCAATGATGTACACAGGATGTAGAGACATACATCAGTATCCAGTCCTAGCAATGATGTACACAGGATGTAGAGACATACATCAGTATCCAGTCCTAGCAATGATGTACACAGGATGTAGAGACATACATCAGTATCCAGTCCTAGCAATGATGTACACAGGATGTAGAGACATACATCAGTATCCAGTCCTAGCAATGATGTACACAGGATACCTCCATTACTTAGTAACCGCCTCCGTGGTGTAGTGGTTAGAGCGTCCGCCCGGAGAGTGGAAGGTCGTGGGTTCGATCCCCGACCGCGTCATACCAAAAGACGTTAAAATATGGTACTTGTTGGTCCCTGTCTGGCTCTCGGCATTAATGAGTACAACAAGGACTGGTCAGTTCGGTGTCAGTATAATGTGTCTGAGTGGGGTATTCATGCTTCACTGCGGCATGGTATCTCAGTGGGCTAGCACTATAAAACCAGCTTAAGTCTGGGCTAGTACAAGCAGCCACACATACACATACACATGCATGCACGTCGTCATATGAGCGAAATATTCTCAAGCACGACGTTAAACCCAATTTCACCTCACCTAACCATTACTTAGTAAGGTCTAGCGAACTAAGTGGTTTGTTACTTTTGGTTTTGTCTGTACCCTCCTCCTGACAGAACCTGTTGTGCTTGGGGCAGACAACTCCTCATCAGAACAATCTGGAATTTGAAGAAAGCATCAATGTATGTTTCTTGTGTGTGTGTTTGTTGTTTAACTCTACATGCAGTAATATTCCAGTTATATGGTGGCGGTCTGTAAATAATTGAGTTTGGACCAGACAATCCAGTGTTTGACATCATGAGCATAGATTAACACAACTGGGATACGATGACATGCACCAACCAAGCTATCAACCCAGACTACCCGATCCTTTAAATAACCTCTTAGGAAGTGAAATTCTATTCTATACAAGGATAGGAATGATAGATACCACTGCAATGAAAATATATTCAGGAAGGCAAAACAAAGCTTTAAAGAAGGTAACATTTCCCAAAAGGACTTTCAATTTAAAAATTGGTACAACAACATACAAATAGCCATTCCACATGAATGACTTTTCTTTTTACTCTGTTACATGTTCTTAATCCAGGTAAATACAGATTGGTCCAACAAATGTTAGGGGGGTATTTCTGCATGTACTTTGGATGTTAGATTGTAACCATATACAATCAGGTGCCAAAGGTTTGTCCCAGAAACTCATACAAACCTTAGAGGTTATTGATTCTTTGAAGAAAGTCTTCCTCGGGGAAATATAAGCATTAAAATGTCCATTTTAAATATAAACATTAAAATGTCCATTTTAAATATAAGCATTGCAAGAAGACAAAGTCATCAATATCCCCCGCAATGGCAAAATACTCTTCATGATTATGTCTATGAGTTATGATTATGTCAAATATTTAGGTGTGTATATAGAAAAGTGGAAGGAGGGTATTGAAAGGTTTTTAAAGTTCTGCTCCAGAAAATAGCACTATCACCAATTTCAGTCAAAGTGAAACTTGTTGCCATGGAAACACCAAACTATTTTATTCAGAATTCCAAAATTCCAGATATATGTATGTGCCAAGTTTGGTGAAGAAACATTGAACGGTTTTAGAATTCTGCTCCGGAAAAGAGCACTACCACTAATTTCAGTTTTAGTCAAGCTTGTTGCCATGGAAATGCCAACAATATTTTATTCAGAAATCCAAAACTAGCAAAAGGCACCAGTACACCACCAGACCAATCTATGTGCCAAGTTTGGTGAAGAAATAGTGAACGGTTTTAGAGTTCTGCTCCGGAAAAGAGCACTACCACTAATTTCAGTCTAAGTCGAAACTGTTGCCATGGAAACGCCAACAATATTTTATTCAGAATTCCAAAACTACCAAAAGGCACCAGTACACCACAAGATCTATCTATGTGCCAAGTTTGGTGAAGAAACAGTGAACGGTTTTAGAGTTCTGCTCCGGAAAAGACAAAAGTGCATGGACAGACGGACGCACGCACGCGCTTACGCACGGACGGAGTCCATTTTAATACCCCCCGCAAAACGCGTTGTGGGGGATAAAAATGTCCATTTTAATAGGAGTATGATAAAAAAAACGACACCAAGGAAATTCTTCAAAGGAATTTAGAAGTTGGTGTAGTAATACAAGACAAATCTTATGGATAATAACTTCTTGATTTATTTTTCACAACGTTTCTGGGCTGGTTCTTGTCGATTGCTGCAACTCTATCGATTGCTCTTCTATTCGTTCTCAGGATGGTTTTTAAGGTTTTGTCGGAATAAAATGTCACATCAACACTGGCAGTATTTCTAAGGAGTCGACGGATGTGATGGCTAATCTGGCCTTGGTAAGGAATATTGATTCAGATGTAAGCTGGTTCAGATTTGGTTGGACTGTGATTTTGTGGCTGGAGGGTGGTGGCGATAGTCTGCTCTACAAGTTTCTTGGGATATCCGTTGAGGGTGATGAAGGTTGTTTTGAGGTGGTCAATTTCATTATGGAGTTGTGCTGGGTCGCAGATAGCCTTGGCACGTCTGGTTAGGGTAGAAACTATGGCTTGCTTGATTTGTGGGTAATGGTTGGATAGAAAGTGGATATACTGGTCCGTGTGTGTTGGTTTTCTATAGACAGAGGGAGTGATCTTGTTGGATGAGTTGTCGAGTGTTACATCAAGGAAGGGCAGTTTGTGTTGATCTTCAGTCTCCATGGTGAACTGGACTGTGGTGAACTGTGCTGTGGTCGTGGTCAGGATCAAGGATGGCGAAAGCCACTATGCTGGTACAGGAAGGTGGACGATACGATAATCCTGAATATTCCCCGGTTGAGCATCCACTCGTGAGGGGCTAGTATACGTCGTGAGAGCACGTCTGCATGGATGTTGTCTACCCCTGGGAGATAAACAGGCATCACCAGAATGTCGAACTGATCGCACGAAAACAGAAACTGCCAAGCCTGCTGAAGAAGAGACAGGGACACCATACCGCTTTGCTTCAGGATATAGGTCATCACCGTCTGGTTGTCCATCCCTAGACGAACAATTTGGCTCCGAACCTGTTCCATAAAGCGTTCGAATACTAACTGCTCTCAATTCTAACATACTGATGTGCAGGGTCGCCTCTAGGACCAAAGGCCCGAAGTGAGGAATCAACCACCGAGTTGCATCCTCAGACGTGCACCCCAAACTATGTCCACGGTCGCCACCATGCTGCCGAGCAACTGGAGCCATGTCCACGTCGAGCAACCCTCTGAACTTTGGAAATGCGGTCTCGAGACAGGGAAACTATGCCCCGCTGTGTCTCGAATCTCGCCCCCAAAGAAAACCAGATCCTGTGTTGGTACCAGCTCTGATTTCTTGAGATTGATAATCCAACCCAACTTGGTGAGAGTATCCATCACTGTCTGTGTGGATTTCCGACTCAATTGTTGCAAGCGCTCTGAGTAGCCAGTCGTCCAGGTACGGGAAACAACAGTTGCCCTGTGCCCTGGCAATCTCAGCTGGAATGAGCATGACTTTGGTGAACACCCTTGGCACCGTGGAGATGCCGAAGGGGAGCACACACAACTGATAGCACTTCCCGTTGAAGGAAAACCTGAGGTATTTCCTGAACCTGCATCGGGACATGAAGGTTTACGTCTTTGAGGTTGATTGACCCCTGCCTCTACAGAAGAGATCACTGAGTGCAGTGTCTCCATCTTGAAAGACGGCACCTCTACCATGTCGTTCACCCCTTTGAAATTTAGAATGGGTCTGAACCCTCCGTCCTTCTTCATCACCAGGAAATATGTGGACAGAACCACCTCGATGGCTGCCTTGTCCAGCAACGACTGGACCTCGGCACAGAGCGTATCTTCTCCTGAGAAGTCGGCACTGGAGTGTGACAATTCCCGGAGAAGGGAAGGGGGGGCTCGCTTCCACTGCAGCAAATGGCCATCCCTGAGCGTGGACAGGACCCAGGGATTTGAGGTGACTTTCTCCCACCCCCGAAGGAATATGGAAAGTCGGCTGCACAACAGGGATGTTGGGCAAAAGGCATTGGATCCCAGAGGTTGGCAGTGCAATGACTGCTTGCACTTGGTCTTCTAAGGGCACCCGAGGAAGATTTACTGGGAAGCAACGTAACCACACCAGGTGAGGGTCTTGGGGAGGTATTGTAGCGCTGCATATAATGCAGGGCTTAAATTGCAACAAACAGAACCATGTTATGTAGCTGTTGCATAGAACATATAAGATATATACACAAGCAAACAGCAACAATTATTATGCACGGGCGATATCAAACACTAAAAGCCAAAGCAATTTAATTAAACTGAACATGCCAACATGTAATACGATACATACATGCTAAATTACCAACCAAGACTTACCGTAAATTCACTGAAAGCGAATTATATTAAGGCAAGCCTAACATATGAAATAAATATTATATATAGACATCCTTACTTGGTGAAAGTGAAACGCTAGCAACACATAAAAAGGATGAATGCAAACCGGGTGGTCCGCCATTTTGCCTGCCACATGGCTGGAAATGGGCAACCATACGGCAAAGTTACAACAATTTATGAATGAAAATACTAACATATAAATTCCATCTAGAATGAACCATGCACGTCGTTCCAGTAGAACGACAGCTTGAAAAAGTGAGGTACAAGGTAGACGGCTAGAGTTACCTGCTCTTGGCTGTAGGGGAGTCCCTGAGGGGCCCTGTAGGGGTGGTCTCACAGGACAAAAATGTGTTTTTTGTTTTGTAAATATTTTTATTAAAATATAGTTACAACTGTCATAGGTTTTTAAATGGACATTTTAAAGCTTATATGTACCCCAGGACTTCTGAAAAAGAACCAAAAGTTTCTGTGTTGTATAGACATGTGAAGATCCGGGTTAGAATTGGTCTTCAGCAACCTGTGCTTGTCATAAGAGGAGATTAACGGAATCCGGTGGTCAGTCTCGCTAACTTGGTTGGCACATGTCATGATTTTCTAATTGCGGGGATCGATGCTGATGCTGTTGATCACTGGATTGTCTGGTCAAGACTCGATTATTTACAGACCACCACCATATAGCTGGAATATTGCTGAGTGTGGCATTAAACAACAACCAAACCAAACCATGTTGTATAGTGGAGCAAATATTTATCTTTGCTTTACTTAATATAGTGATCTACACTCACATAATATCGAGAACTGAAAAAAAACCAGAAGTACATATGTGTTTCATGCACCTTAACCTAAGTTTTCAATACTGCCACTATAGCTTCCAAGGACTGTTACCTGACTCTGTCAACTCCGCGATGCTGAGGTTTCCATCCTCCTCTGACTGCTGGGTGTCCAGCTCCGAGTCAGACAGCTCATCCCCAGACGAGATGCCATATTTGTCCCTCAGCTTGCGGAGCTTGTCTTCAGTCTGCTGTTGATGAGTCTTCTGCCTGAAGACCTTCTGTACTTCAACCAGGGACTTCAACACCTGAATCTGACATCACACATACAGATGAGACACACTGAGTGAGTGAGTGAGTATGGTTTTACGCCGCTCTTAACAATATCCCAGCAATATCATGGCAGGGGACACCAGAAATTGGCTTCAAACATTGTGCCAATGTGAGGAATCGAACCCGGGTCTTCGGCGTGACGAGTGAACGCTTTAACCACTAGGCTACCCACTCTGTTCATGTCTCCCAAAAGTCAGTGCTAAGATTTCTCTGTGAAATAGGCCCAGAACAAAGTAGGAACCCATGCTTGTCATACAGGAGAGCTACATTGGGTGGTTTCCATGTGCGAATCGACTGTCAACAATTAAACTCCAGCACTGCATATTGTTGCACATGCTTTATTGGTTTATTACTCATACAAGGCAATAAATATAAACTTTGACATCCGCTTTGAAAAGTGTTTCAACATGTCTATCATCAATCGTCATCTTTTTTATTAGAGCAGTTACATCAATTGTAATGTTTAACATTAGAATAATACTGGAACATGGCCATTCTTTACCGTAAACAAATGTGATACAAGAGTGAACACATGAATGGATGCCAAAAGCATGTCCCCATTGTATGGAGTTATCTTCCCTTACTGTTTCACTCTCTTTATACAGACACCTGATTGAACAGCAAACCTTTTGTCTCACTCATGGATATCAAACAATATAAGGAAACTGTTGTAGTAAGATAGTAAAAGGTTAAGATCACAAACAAATCAGGTACCACCTTAAAGAAACAATCTTTTGAATGTCTTCATATGTATGCTGACGCATAATGTTCCAGTGTCAAGTGATATACAGGGCTCCAGATAAGGGCTGTATCAGCGTATGTACGGATAAAAAATATGCACGATACGGTAGGAAGTATTTTAGAAAACGTAGCAGATACGCACCACGGCAATGGTGTACGGTATTAGAATCATTTACAGACGTATTTATCTGAAAAAGTATTGTTTTATTGTTTATTGACCTGTTTACACAAGACCAGCAATGTTGTGGTGCAGATATGAAAAGAAACACAAAATTACTGATACTCCATGAAATTCCATTCAGTACTCTAAATGTACTCTTCTGGTACTCCTATATTGAAAAAGTAAGGAGTACAAAGTCCTGATGTTGAACAATTATCTGGAGCCTTGGATATATACAAGTATTGTACATAAAAATGTCCATATATCTTTACAAACCTGTAATTTCCTATTTTTAGCTTTCCTTGCAAACTCAAAAGCCGAGAGGTAACACTGGCTGATTTTTTCATAGCTGGACCCTCCGAGCTCTTCCGCCTCTGCAATATTCAGCCAAGTACGACAAACCTGGACACATAAGCACAAGGTTAGCAAACATCTACCTCATGTGTAAACTAATAGTAATAGAGTTCAACAACAGCATATTTCACTACAGGTGAAAGTATACCTATGCTACAACATCAGACACGCGAGGCCTCCACCTACCTGCTCTGGGTCATCAGTTCGACAAGCCAGCTCCTTCTTGTAATACTCTACGGCTTTAGCAAACTGTTTGTTATCAGCAAAGGTTTGTGCCAGTGACACATAGATTGGAATCTTCTCCTTCTTACTAATCTGTAACTGTTCTCCACAAGCCCACTGAAGACAAGAAAAAAAAAGGTTTTAGAAGTGGGATAGTGGAGCCACAAGATTGAATATATATTGGCATCACCGAACAAACATAATGCAGTGCAGGGACGTTAATGGCTCCAAAACATCAGATATCAATCTACAATGCTAACTTTAATCATGCTTCTCTTACTTTAATACATTTTATAATTGTAATTTGTGAAATGCAGGTATCTTATCGGGTTATAATAGTTATCTGCCTTGTTTGAGTGGTGCTCATAAAGTGATGTCTATCAGGGTTAGAACTTAACTTTTTAAAGTACAAGCAAAAGACTACTTATGTCTTTTTAAACTACAAGTTAAATTAATTTTCAATAAGCAAAAACATAAAACTAATGTAATTTTTCAAGTAAAATTGATATTTTTATACTTATCCTGACTCATGATCTTTTGCTTATCTCCCTTTCCCTTGCGAATGGTAGTAGAATACTTGAATCGCTTGAAGTTCCCGAAGCAGACGTAAAAATACACTCACCCACGAGTTACCTCCCTTTTGCCCTTTCCTCGCGCGCAAACAGTCATGTGACCAGCCTTACTTGTCACTCTCTCCTGTTTTTCTGCCCATGCACTTGAATCTGCTGTGAAATCCTAAGTGTTTCCAGCGGGGAGGTTGGGAGGGCTTGACCTCATGAGTCAGGATAAGTATAAAAATATCAATTTTCCTTGAAAAATTACATATATTTTCTTATCCTGACTCATGATCTTTTGCTTATAGAATCCTGCGGATTGGTGGTGGGTCAGGCCACTTCCTGGATTCATCAGCTGTCCTTAGATACGTCCTGTATACCCCCCCCATGGGAACTGCGAAACGGCATTTCCTTTATCCTATTCTACCAACTTCCGTTATAACTCGGGGGGACCACTCTCTTGTCTTACTTCAGTCTCAGACAAGTTGAATCATGTTGATTCATGTGGCTTCAGATAAACTAGTACCTTCTTATTACTAGATATCTTATAACAACCCATAGATTATGATAAGATCTTTATCATAAATGAGTTGCGACCCCTTCACATACAGGTAAGATCTTTACCCATACAGGATCTTTAATCACTCTTGCTAGCCTGTCTTAGACTGTGCGCATGGACTTTCAAACTAATACTTTTCCTTAGTAAAGTTATCAACAAGTCAACGTGATAAAGGGTGAGATTTTCCAACTCAGCGCCTTTGAGGAACCGTTAGTTGCTGTGCTACAACGAGAGGCCCAAATTGGTGAATGCCTGAGACGTCTTCAGTGGCTATGTCTCGGAGGTAGTGGTTGGCAAACACTGTGTCCGACTTCCAAAAGCAGCCCGCCATAATTGCTTGTATAGAGCAATTTCCGTGCAGAGCCAGTGTTGACGCCAGTGCTCTGACTTCGTGTGGGTTGGAAGCTCTAGGAGGTTCTAGTCCTGCTGCTTTATAGGCTCTCAATATGACGGCTCTCATCCAGAACGATATCGTCGTTCTTGAGACTTCTGGTTTGTCTCTGTGGATAATGGGATGAACAGGCGCTTGAATTTTTGTCACCTTGTCTTAGTCTTTTGAAAATATATCTTCAGGGCTCTGACCGGACACATGGATAGGTCTTCTATATCTTCTGGTCCGAGGATTTTAGATAGCGCTGGTACGTGGAACTGTCTATCTGGCTGACCAGGTAGTTGGTTCCTGGCAATGAAGTCCCATCTAAGTCCTAGATGAACTGCAGCATGTTGCCCCGTGTCGAATCTTGTTTGACCAAAGTCCAGCGCATGTATCTCTGATATTCGAAGCTGCCGTGGCTAAGCGCAAGCAGGAACAGAGTCTTCTGTGTCAGCAACTTTCGAAGGTAGTCTGGTCTAGAGGTTCGTAGGCATCACTTTCGTAGATGGCGTGAGAATTACATTCAGATCCCAGGCCTCAGCTCTGAACTTCTTTTGCTGGTCCTCCAGTTTAAAAGATCTCAGCAGAGCAAGTAATTCTGGTACTTTCGTCAACTTGATGCCTGTTTTCATGGTAATGACTGTACTGATGGCAGCGAGGTATGTAGATAATGTCGAACCTTTCAGATGTCTAGTCTGTCTCAGATGACACAGGTATTCCGCCACTTGAGGATGAGTAGCTTTCATTGCAATGAAGCCTTTCCGCCTTGCATAAGTCTCAAACTTCAGCCACTTGTCATCATACATGTTACGAGTAGATCTGCGTAACGCTAGCGTTACTGCCTTGGCTGCCCTGGCGGAGTATCCTCTTTTCTTCAAACAAGTTTTGAAACGGTCCACATGTGTAGCTGGAACAGTGTCGGGTTTCCGTGGACTTGCTTGGTGTGCGGATGTATGAGTAGGTTCGGCCAGTCTGGTAACTTGATTGTTGGACTTCAAAGATCTTCTATTAGGTCTAGGAACCATACTCTCGCTGGCCACTATGGCGCGACCAAAGTCAGTTGTAGCGCCTGTGTCTGTTTGATCTTCAGCAGAACCTTTGGTAGTAATATCAGGGGGTGAAAACGGTTAAGTGTTTAGTCCTTCCAAAGATATGCTCAGTGCATCTGTTGCCCGGATGGAGCATCCATTCCATAAACGTTTGACCTGTGTGTCCACCACAGTAGATACCTCTTGAGGTTGTCTGGCAGCAAGATTGGGTCGACGCTGTCTAGATGTTTTGTCAGGAACCGTTGCAGTGGTCTTATTTGTAACCTTCCTGTGCGAGTCAAGTCCTGTGCCAAGGTTAGTGGACCGAGTAGAACTTTCCATGATCGTAGTGTTAACGGAGAGATGACTGCGAGTGGAATCATGGCTTGTATCTTGACCCAACGATCTTCTGGGACGACAATACGATTCTGTGTTGTGATAAACCTTATCCCCAGAAATTGAAGATCTTGTTTTGGTTCCAACTCTGACTTCATAAGGTTCACCAGCCATCCTAGTTGAGTGAGCAACTTGATCGTGAAGTTCAGCTGTAGTCAGAGTTGACTGGCATCTTGGTGAACCTGAATTCCGTCGTCCAAGTAGAAGGCATTGTGTAGACCTCGATGATGTAGATATGCGACTATAGGCTTGGTTACTCGTGTAAATAGCCATGGAGCCGATATTCCAAACGGTAGGACGTTCCATTGGAAGTGCTGCCCTCTTTCTTGATTCCGGATGTATGGGGATGTGTAGATACGCATCCTGCTGGTCTATGCTGGCCATGTAATCTGCTGGACGGACGAGTAGTCTCAGTTGAGGTAGGTGGATCATTCTGAACCTGTCTGGTTTCAGTAGATAGTCTTTGTTGAATTTGTGCATGTTGTAAATCAGTCTGAACTTCTCCTTGGAGTTCTTCTTGGGTACTAGAAGAATTGGGGAGTAGAAGCCTGGAGTGAGATGATGCTGATCTATTATCTCTACCGCCTCCTTCATAAGTAGTGAGTTGATGGCTTCTTGTAGTCTGAGGGTTAGCGGAGGTGTTGCCTTGAGTTGTACTCTGTATCCTTCTTGCAGTACTTGGGAGACGTAGTCGTCCTCTAGTATTCCCCAATTTTTCCAGTACCTTTGTAGACGTCCACCCACTGTCGATGGTTTTACAGGAACGGCTGGGGGTGGAAGACTCCAGTCGTTCGAACCCTGATATCAACGTCTAGTTCCTCTGGATCCTCTAGGAGTGCGGCCACTCCCTGAGTTTCCTCTGTAATTTCTGGCTGGGCGAAAAAAAGATCCTTTGCCGCCTCTGAAGCTGGAGTACTTCTTCTCCTTTGCCTTCTGTATGCCGGAATATTTGGACTTACTGTTATACTTTTGCGAAGTATGACGGATAACGTTGGCCAGAGTATCTATGGATTTTATCATCATAACTTCTCTAGAGTCGTGTGTAGCTGCCTTAGCTACATCCTCTATTGTCCTCCAAAAGAGACTCCCATGGAGCTCTCAGTAGCGGTTGGGTGAATCTGTCACTCCATGAACAGGATGCAAGTAGCCCTTGTCTGCGTAGTAAAGTGAGACCTCCAGATATAGATGCCAGATGGTCCGATAAAAAGTATTGGTCCTTCTTCTGAGTTATGAGCGCTGAATATATCATTCTGTACTCTTCCGAACTTGAGTTCTGGAACTTATTGAACAATGCTTCATTGATAGCTCTGGACCTGGCCAACCTGAAGAAGGATCTCCTTATAGCAGTATCAAGTTGAGATAACTGTTTATCTTCTACTTTATACACCTTGTTCCGTGAGTCGTTGACTAACTTTATGTTATCATCCCATTCAGGCGCTTTTGTAAATGGATCCATATGATGTAGAGGGAATCTGTTCACATTAAATGATGGCAGATGCTGACTCTGGTACTTGGATGCTTTTGCGAAAGCTGTGCGAAGGTTGGAGGGTACCCTGGATATAGGTTCAATTGGAGGGATAGTGACGGAATCAAAATCGTCATTACGCATCATATAAGTGTAGACTTCATCTTTATCCTTAGAAGGAGACTCCACGTTCAACCCGTTGGCAATCCAAGCTGTAACCTCTGCGTCTGGGAAGACGAAGTCCGCTTGCTCATCCAGTGTCTCCTGATTATTAGAGCTAGGCCTCTGCAGATCATCCATCTGCAAACCTGTATCCCTTGTCGAACCTTCATCATCCTTTAGCGAACCTGTCTGCAGATTCCTCCCTACGCGAACGTCTATCTTGAGAGTCCGCTCTTCGCGAACCTCTGTCTGTAGATTCATCTCTTCGCGAACCTCTGTGATGTGAGCTTTCTCTTCGCGAACGTCTGTCGCTAGATGTATCCTTTCGCAAAGCCTCTGTGATGTGAGCTTTCTCTTCGCGAACGTCTGTCTCTAGATGTATCCCTTCGCAAACGTCTGTGATGTGAGCCTTCTCTTCGCGAACGTCTGTCTCGTGATGAGTGACTTCACGAACGTCTTTGAGATCTTCATCTACAGCGGCTAGGTGTAGGAGATGGATCCTTCGATGTTCTCGAACGTTGAGGGTTCGCAGATGTAGAATGATGAGTAGGCATCTCATGTCTTCTATCCTCCTCCAAGATGACAGAATCGTCCCACTGTGGAGACCTTCGTAAAGGTGTACGTTCGCCAACGTAGTCTTGAGCTGTAGTTCTCTGAGGAGTAGGTTCGCGCAGGTCTGTATGTCTGCGCCACGGTGTCGGTAGATGAGAGGCTTCACCGAGCCTTCGCTTCTTCCTCGAACCTGCGTTCCATCATGGTCATCATCTGGTTGGTGAATTGTCTCATACATTCACCCGGGTCAAGGTTCTGCGTTGGTTGAAGCTGCTGCGGTGTAGAAGAAGCGTTCGATGAGTTGTTTGCCTCGACTTCACTGCGTTGAGAGGTAGGTGGTAGTTCGTCAAAAAAGCTGTCCTGCTGTGACCGTTGCAGGAGATGATCTAGTAGTTGTAGACATCGATTGAGTCGCTGATCACGTTGGCAATTCGGGTAGAAGTAATGGGGGGTCATCAAAAACGTCTACTTCATGTGGAGGTAATATCTCTTCGTTGAAGGATTTCTGATGCGTTGACTTACTAGCCCGCGTAGATTTACCCTCCGATCTGGTAACAGATGCTTTCTTCTGCGATGTAGAAGAGGATGACGTCTTTTTTTTAGCTTGAGTCGGAGTCAACTCTTCTTAGCCGATCTCTTCTTAGCCCCCGTACCAGCAGACTGCCCCTGCAACGTACTCAACATAGCACCAGTATTATGAATTTCAGCAGTAGCAAGCAACATTCGGTTTGCAGGCTGATCTCCTGTTTTATCAGCCGTGACTTGAGATGACTTCCTCACCCGATCCATGGTACGTCTATAGATATAAGACAAATATTGATTAAATTGTAGATTTGTAAATCAACAGAATAAGTACAGCTCAAGCTGGAAGAACATGGTTTTATGCACGAGGGCATTGGGGGTGAGGATCAGCCACGGACAACCTGTGCCTGCAAACACTGCAAGATTTCATGAAATGTAAACAAAGTTACATAACGATGAAATTATGACACAAATACAAATAATTTTTACAATTTTTTTACATATAATACAAAGTAGTTATTGCCAAATCCATACACAGCATAATTTTGAAGAATAGGATCTAAATATAAAGGATATAATGCCGTATATGGGACTCCAGTGCTCGCCCAACCATCCACTTGGGCGAAAAGGGAGAGAGTGACAAGTAAGGCTGGTCACATGACTGTTTGCGCGGGAAAGGGCAAAAGGGAGGTAACTCGTGGGTGAGTGTATTTTTACGTCTGCTTCGAGAACTTCAAGGGATTCAAGTGTTCCACTACCATTCGCAAGGGAAAGGGAGATAAGCAAAAGATCATGAGTCAGGATAAAAAAAATATTCCTTATCCTCACTAATTTCCCTTTCACACTTCTGTTTTAAGTAGTCTGTTATCATATTATTTGCAATAATGTTCGATCATAAATGCCAAATGTGACAAATGCACGCGGTTGCTAAGGTCCGCCATCATTGAATCGGAAAATCCTAATGTTATACTAAGCAGGTGTGTGGCTATAAGTTCCATAGATTTCATATTCAGAATACTTCATTAATTGTCGTCAATAAATAAAGGGAAGTAACTCCAAACTGAGTATGGCAATGTTTTTATACAACCATTTTCACAATTTGTCCGATTTAATCAACAAAAACACAGGACACTAAAAAGGTTAGCTTTTATTAAAAAACGCTATTATGAAATTTTAAACAAATTTAGCGTATTAGTATCCGTTAATTTCAACTCTTGTCCATAAAGTTGTTCCACTTTGCAGGAAATAGAATCATCAAATATTCAAATTCAACAACAAATGACAAACACAAAATAGGCGAGTACTGATGGCACACAAGAGATTCATCACTAAAACATTATCTTGAGTTACTTAAGCATTATGAGCATTCTATCGTTAACTGTGGTCGGTATAAGCAGGAAAACACTGCTCTAATGGGAGACTTTATCATGTAGACTGGTTAGACAACATGCATGTTTCATCAGTTCAAAAGAAGCAGTGTATCCCTAAAGGTTTGCTGACCATTTGCAGGTAGAAATCAATGGCCTGTTTGAAGTTGGCAGCATCAGCAGCAGCATCACCCAACATCTCATACAGCTTGAAATGTTGCTGTAGACTGGCATCCTCTTTCTTCAGTTCATCAGTACACTCCTCCATCTTGCTGGCTGCACAACAGAGGAAGGTGCTTCATCATACATCCATGGTCAGGATGTTACTCTTGTCAGAAGGACCCTAGGAACAACTTCAGTGGGGGTTTTTTCACTACTAATGAAACATTCCAGTATATATTGATATAAATAGATTGCATTTGATTGGTAATCCAAGCTAACATTTTGCTTTTGTTTCCATAAAATGAAAAGAATCTAAGCCATGCCCACTAGTAATAGACTACCATTTACTGATTGTCTGATATCAGAATCGGCATGGCTTGTAGTCTTCAAAGTAAAATTTGGTTATCAATATTTACATTGGAATCTGTCTAAACCGGCACTGAAGCAATAATCCGGTTTAGACAGAGTGACGGATTGTAGAGCTGACACGTTTACCTACAACTAGAACTGAACTCATATTCACATATTTATTCACATAATAACATAAACATGATAAATCAACTCATTTGAAAAAATCAGACATTTTGGTTTGTTTCTTCTCAATTGATGATTCCAGAGCGAATTTCTCTGCAACACTTTCTAAGTTCACAATGTGGGACAGGAAGCATGTCTCACTACATGTGCTTCATTTCAGTGCACATTTTGGCACAATGAGTGGCTGTTGGTGTTCAAAAGCCACCCCTTTTAACATCCCTGATGAGTGACAAGATTAAATTATTTTTGTCGGCAACCATGTAGTTACAATAGATGGCTGACACATGCTCATTATCCCATATTACAATGCAGGATTGATTGGTGACAATACACATCCAGCCAACCCATCGGCACACTCCACATTAGACAGTGCTGATCTGACTACTGTTTAAACACATATTCGGTCGGCTCATTTCATGCCAAGATCCGGAAATGACAGCTGCCGGATTGCAGAGCTTTTAAATGTTAAATGTACTAGTTACAGAGGGGACTGAGATATCATGCAGGTGTTAACAACTTGCCGGATTGGACAGCTGCCGGTTTTGATAGCTTCCGCTGTATTTACTTTTGCTAGAGATGAGGAACAGGTTGTGAAAAAGCTCTTATGTGAGGGCATTATCATTTTACCAAGATTTAAGAACTAACAATTACCAGATTTAAACAGTTGTAGAATCCTTCTCTCTTCTGTTGCTGTTGCAGATCCCAGCTTGTAAGCTTTCTTCAGGCAGTGCTTGGCCATGGAAAAATCTCCAATTCTTATCAATACCTGCAAAACAGTTTACATTATATTATCTGTATATTTCTGTATCAATTGCAGACAACCTTCTAAAATGGAAGCAAAGAGGAGAAGAGACATCAAACTACAGTTTACAAAGACCCTTCAGTCCCTATTCCAGTATCAGGGATACTGCTCAAAGGGGCCTTTTTAAGGTTATGCAGGGATTTATCTAGGCCTGATGAAAAGCTGATATTTGGTTCTAAGTGTGCTGGGAATCATAGTAGAACTTCCCAATTTGAATGTAAATTTCCTGATTACTCAAAATTTAAGAACTGAGTACATTAAAGATGACATGAAGTGTTAGGAGGCTCTACCTGTGCCTTATTGACGAGTACTTCACTTTCTAGCAGTTTGTCTTTTAACTTGATGGCACATTGCTGTGCCTCCTCCAGGGACCTCAGTGCCTGGCTCCAGTTCTCACTCCGCTGGTACATCCCAGCCAGGGAGAACTGACAGCGATACACATCTCTCTGGAGACGGTACTTCCTGGAGAAACAATCCATACCACAGTGGAAACGATTGAAATGAACAGTTTACAAACTGTTTATAAACTGTTAATTCACATAAACAGAGAAATAGAACAGTCTTATACTTTATAATAGTACTTGTTTTCAGAGACATGGTGAAAGCTTGTAATTAATGACTAACTGACTGAGTTTCGTTTTACGCCACTTTTAGCAATATTCCAGCAACATCACGGCGGGGGACACCAGATATGGGCTTCACACATTGTACCCATGTGGGGATTTAAACCGGGTCTTCGGCATGACAAGCCAACGCTTTAACCACTGGGCTACCCCACCGTCCCAATTAATGACTAAAGACGTTTTATACTTATGAATTATTGGTATTACTGGTTTTCAGCATGTCCAGAAACTGAATACTGTTAAAATTGAATTCACACTTATCTACAAAACAAAATAAGCTAAGAGATTTTTCTCATAATCGATAATGGTGACAATGTAAGATGTAAAATTTCACTAGTGATGTCATCATACATTTCAATGTTGAAAATGTTTAATGTCAATTTTGGATGATGCAAACTTATGAATATCAATACTAACTTGGTAAAGTCTAATAACTTGGACAATAAAATGGCAGAAATTCAATTTGAAACATTAATGAATTGGCTTAGTTCATATTAAGCATTAAGTTGTTAAAATGCAATCTGGACAGGAATATTGTTACCTATACACATACAGAATAGCTAGTTTTGATTTTAATACTTATGTTGACATATCAAATTATGTAATTTTTAAGTTGATGCATCGAAAATAAACGTGACAATCAGTAAAACAGACTCCCACAATCCCCAGACTGATTCTACAAAGAGTATGATCATTACACTTACTGAGCAATTGTGATGGCTTTCTTCATATACTCAGCACTCTGTCTAACATCATCCCGACCATCATAAACCAGGCCTGCAAAACAACCTTCAAATAAGGTTTTTCTTTGACACAAACCAGCATATCACACACTTTTTCAAAGTTTTTCAAACAACAACAACAAAACGTTCCTCTCCCAACACTGTTTTTTTTAAAAGTCACCACCACAATGATACAAAGGGATAGTCTTTTCCTCTTTCAGCCTAGTTTCTGACTTACAGAATTCATAATTGTATCATGATTATTATGTGTTCTATTGCTTCAACTGATTGTTGGTAATACAGTTAGTGTTTCCCATAGTCATTTGTAGCTTTGTGCAGGACCCTGCCCTTTTGACTTGGAGCCCTGCCCTTTATATTTGGTGCCTTGCCCTTCTTTTTAATACAATAATTGATATTAACACTTGTCAGGTTTTAGTTTCTATTTCATGTTGAAGTTAAATGAAATAACTGTGCTCTTTGAACTTTCAAGAATCACTATGCATGAACAACTTTAAAAAATTAAATACTTGGAAATCTGTCTTTGCTTGTCCTTTTCGGAATGGGGGTGCCCCTTTTGAAATTCTGTCACCCTGCCCCTTTTGGATACTGGGGGAAACACTAACAGTGCTTCACCATTCTTCAAATTAGATACACTCATTTGGTAATACAAACAAATGATAAAGACCCTCAAAAGCAGGGAGGACATGTAGAGCATTGCCTTGCAGTTTTTTCTCAATAAATATTTTACATTACTATGTTTGAATCAGTAAAATTAGAAGATGGCTTTGTTTAATCACCAAGGTTGAGGTAGAGTCTGGCCTTCATTTCCATCAATTCTTCATTCTTTACAGAATTCTTCAACCTCTCACAAACTTCCAGTGACTTCTGAAATGCACTTTCAGCATTTTTGGATGCATCAACTGCACGGCCCCCCTTAGATGTCTCGGACTGAAAGAGGTAAGTCCGGCCAATGGTGGCCCATGCTCGTTGCTCCTCTATCGCACTGTCACATGACTTGGCCAGGGAGAGATGACGCTCTTGAAGTTTGAGTGCCTTTGGATACTTTTCAAGAGCACAATAACACTCTCCAATCTTGCGACATGCAACGGCCTCGCCAATGATATCTTGCAGAGCTTCACTGATTGCCCTCTCAGCTTCATGCTCCTTGATAGCTTCCTCAAACCTTTCTGGAAAATAAGGAAACAAGGCATAGCAATGGTTTCATTCAGCACTATACATGGTCTGTTTTATCAAAACTATTTGCAAGATCCTTTTCCCCTTAATAACTAACTTTAACAATGTATACCCCGTTTAAGTCACTGAATTTCAAGTGTAGCGGTGTGCAGTTGTATATGTAAAGCCCAATTTGAGCGAAGTTCAGTATTCTTAAAATGTTTTGGCTGATGGGATTCTGATCATTAAAGTACCATTAGTTAGTTGTTCATAGGACCATTAGCAGAGAAACTTGATGGACAAGATGGTCAGGCTCAGTAACTTGTTTATTGTGTGTCAACCGAGAGCAAAGTCATTGCTCATTATATCATTAACTCGACTGTCTGGTAAAAAAGATTTCAGTATTTATTGATCAAGTAACCCATTACTCTGAACAACAATGGAATGAAACTGGTTTCAGAAATATAGTCACAGGACACCATTTGAAAGAAATAGTGACCTTTTGGTCTGGGATCAGGTATCCAGACTCTTTACCCACTTTCAATTCGTTTACATGTTCTTTCAAATGATCCTTCTTTAATAATTTGCATTTCATCATACAAACCATATTTTGACAGTAGTTCCCCAATACAATTATGTATCTGTGAAACTTCTCTCAAATTGTCTTTCTTCTCTGCTTTCCTTTTCTCTCTTTTTAATTCTGAAACCAAAAAGCACAACGATCTAGTTTATCTGTTATCATGGCAAATAGAATTATCTACTCATCTGCATGTCATGTCTTGCCGCATCGCGTCTCTCGGCTTCATCTTTCCCTGCTAAGACGACGATTCTGCCCGATACAAACATTATCTAACAAAAGGGTTAAGTAGGTTGGTATTGATTAGGATGTCGCATACAATTGGGGCAATAAAAGGTAATGTCCATCGAAGAACAATACTCCAATCAACACTAAATCTCAACGAATATCCTTGTCGAAGGACATTCACTGATTCAGTCGTATGTGCGCGAAAACTGGAGGGTATACGATATATTTAGACAGCAAAACGATGGTATGACAGCCAACTGTTTACTAACTCTCTAGTTCTCTTTCATCTTCAGGATCCATCTTCTTCCAAAATTTGCCTGCCAAATTAATAAAACAAGTCTCGGCATTGCCTGATGGGCGATAGCTGGCACTGTCTCCAACTTCAAAATAAACTTTCCGCCATTTTAATTTTCCCGGCGATTTTCTGTGCTCATGCGCATTTGTTTTAGAGTTACCTCCCTTGCACTGACAGGCGTCCCATCAAGAATGTTTACGGCAACAGTTACCACAGTCATTTTTTAGCTCGATAAGCATGTTCTTCCTCTTTTATCAATGACAAGATGTTTCAGAAAAGGCTTTGGACAGAAACGCTTTGCTGTGCGCTTTGTAATTTCACAAAAGTATTTGGCTGTGTCTGAACTAAACGTTCTACTGCTACACAATGAACACAATACCTCTATAAACGACGCCGATGACAGCTTAGAAGGGGATTATCTTTGAATATCTGTCACCTTTTTACTGAACAAAAATTGAAGTTGACGTATGACAGAAGCATGTTTCAAGTCCATATAGTATAGCTCATTTACTGATTCGTTTATATGAGACTGCATCATAAATGGATCTGCAGTATTTAGTGATATGGTTCTATGTGCACTTGCATATCTGTAACAGTCTTACTGATTATTTCTGATCTCTTACAGACCATTAGTAACACTTACACAGTAAAAGCAAAGATGTCAAAAAGTAACTTGCACTTCAAAATTAAAAGAGATATCGTAAGGACTATCTCATCGATTGTGTGCAAGTCATATGGACCAGATTGTCAGCAGACCCTTCTATGCACATCAACCGGCATGGTCCTAGTTACATCAGATGGGATGTGCATACTTCACAGTCTCCATCTGTGTCACCCTGTTGCTACAGTGGTGGTGAAAGCCATACAGAAACACCACCTCATGACTCGTGATGGCACAAAGACATTCTCGCTATATCTATCACAAGCAGTAACAGACTTGGACAAAACACTTAACTGCTCCCTATCTACAGATCACATTGGGACGTCAGTTGATCAGTTCTGTTACACAACTGCACAGCATCTCATTAGAATTGAACGTGATGTTTTACCCCAAATTTGGAGAGAATTATCCCAGAATTCTACTGTTAAGCATGTCGAAGGTAATTTGCCACTGATCAAATTAAGATCAGTCATAAACACATGCTTGGCAAGCCATTTGACAAAACATACAAGACATGTTCTCTTAGAGTTAGTTTTGAGTTCTTTAGGGGCAAGTGAATCTGGAATATTCACAGACATTTCTATAGGTGTTCTAAAAAGACAGGTGACATTTATGATTGACAACTTTGACTTCCTCCATTTCAAACTTCCCAAACAACTGTGTGAAACATCATCATTTCTGCCAGGATTTCTGCTCAGGCAAGATTTTTTAGTGAAACACCCTCGGCTTGGTGAGAATGAAGATATCAAGTTTCTGATGTTGTCTTGCTCTGTGGAAGGAAGTTCTAATGAAAACCCAGATGAAGTTGTTTTTCTGAAGGACAAGGAGGCAGCATACACCGCTCTTTCTTACAGAGTAACCAGGGCAAGCAAATACTTGACTGATCTCAAACAGAAGGATGTGTCTTTAATACTCTGTTCAGAAACTGTTCCCCAGTTTGCAAGATCTCTATGTAGGGATTTGGGCATTAGTGTCATCAGCTGTGTGGAACAGGAGGACATTCACTTCATTGAAAGGATCACAGGAGTGCAGGCTGCCACCAGCATATCTGGTTCAGTTGACAGCATGCAGACTGGTCAGCTGTCTAGTTGTGACAGGATTGTGTTAGGAACCCAACGTGTTGCTCATCTACAGTTTGCAAAGACAAAGACTTTCATATCACCAAGAACAATTGTCATAGCAGCACCAACCGATGGACTTGTGGATCAGTTCAGGACTGCTGTGTATAAGTCATACAAGTCAGTTCAAATGTGCTTTGCTTTCCAAGTGACTTGCAATACAGATGATTCCCTTGGCGAGAATTGTTATCAAGAAAAGCCTGAAGATCTCACCACATCTTCAGACAGTGGAGAGTTCTGTGTTATTGGAGGAGGTGGGTTCTTTGAGCTCAGGACAGCAGGCATGTTGAAGAAGCTGTCAAATAATTTCACAGATGTCAAGATAGGCCATGGATGTCAAGTCCTTCATGATTGCCTGCTGTCTGTTCCGCGACACCTTCACAAACAGTTATCCCCGGATCATGGTACCAAAGGCAGGGACTACCTGGAGAAGCTTCAGCAGTTATGGGCAACAATAGAAGAGGGAGGGGTTGCTGGTCTGGACAGGAAGGGGAGGATCTGTAAGCCTGTAGATGTTGGAATACTGGAACCTCTTGCCTCCAAAGTGTTGACCTTGACCTCTGTGGTGCAGCTTCTCCAGCAGCTGCTGAGGATCGATGCTGTTGTCAGCGTCCAGAAACTAGAAGCAGTTGAGATGTTTTCTGATGATGATTTGTAGACTTGACAGAATGCTGGTAGGATACAGACTCATCTATGGCTGCTGACAGCAAGTGTATAATGACATAACAGTTTAAATCATTGGTTTGTTAGCACTGTTCTGGTGCTCACGGTTTCATTTAACAGATAAATGTCTAAAACATGCACCATTTGGACTCTCTTTTCGCATTAAGTGTACTGTAACTTTAACATTCTCCAAAGCGGTGTGTTGGGTGGAACAAATTCACTCTTGTTGGGGCTTTGGGCATTTAAGGTGTCTTTAAAAAGTTGGTTCCACTCCTCACATGGATGCAATACTCCTTGAAAGCCCCACCTATCATATATGGCAGGAATAATGCTGAAAGTCATGCTCACTCACTCACTCCAAATTGTTGTTTACTTTAGACATCTAACTTTCCAGATTATCAAGTTCTGCTTGTTAATATTTTGTATGATGAGATAAACGAGAAAAAATTAAATGGATGCATTTTCCGTGACATTTTCACATTCTTTTTTGAATGGGTTTATTTGTACTATTATGCATATTAAATTACAAAGGTACATTGAAAACACACACTACTTCTGTAATTGATGCTCCCTGATGTATATAGAATTACGGTCTCCCTAAACCCCATACAGTGATGCATTGTTGCTTGTCGACCTTCTGATAACAGCACTGTTCACTGGATTTACATCTACATTAAGACACACCATATATGAATTTAATGGTATCATTCTTTCTATACAAACAAGGACATCTTTTCCATAGTGCGGCCATAGAACACACACGCATGTGCTGAACATTTTGCTCAGTGGGGTCTTGTCAAAGGGAGATCACTGTTGGTGTCTGGTCAATGAGGACTTCAGCCAAGGTCCCTTTGTGATCACTTGAGTAATGAAGTTAACACAAAAGATAACGAAGATCTTGGGAAAGGGTGGTACTGTCTTTGTTCCGGGTAATTCTTTCCCTGGATGGAAATCTCTTCCCTGTAACGATTTTTCCTTACAAGTTTGATAACTGTCCTGAGAGGTTTCCTTGTATAGCCATAGGAAACCGACTTCGTATGAATAACATGACTTTTAGGATTTCCAACGATAAAACGACACTGTAGTGTGTTGTAATTATATGTCCACCGTTGCTGCCGAAGTTGGATTAGATGCAGGAGAGGTTGCTTGTTGTTGGGGTTGACCGACATGTGGACCATCAGGGGCGGATACAGCTTTTGAGAAGGGGGTGTGGGGTTGCACACTATTGAGAAAAGGAGGGTGCACACTTCATTTTGCACCCGAGTTCCAAGTCATTTAACAAACTTTCAGCACAAAGGGGTGTGTGCCCCTGCACCCCCACCCACCCCTCCACCCTACCCCCTGGATCCGCCTATGACTTGCAACTATCCAACGTGAAAGAACTCTCACAAGTGAGAGACGTCTAAGACCTGTTTGAATCACTTTCGACACTTAGATGTTTTCGCCATGTATATACTGAGGGAAACAAAGAAGGGAACATCACTCCATTGCAGTGTTCCTTTATTTTCAGATGGTCACCCACAGTGCAATACAAAACTGGAAAAGAAAACAGGAACACTTGTGCTTTCATTTGTTCCTTTATTAGTTTCCCTCTCTATGTTCGCTGTAATGGCGTGATGAACCACGGAGAGATTCGGGTTAGAATATGACCCCAACAACCTCGGGGATGCTGGCTGTAATTAGAGAATTAATATCGGCAAGTCAGATTCGGTGGGTTTGTGTAATAACATTATTCATTTCAATCAATCAAATCAATTTCATGCCACCTTCATATAACTAGAATATTGCTGACACTAACACTCACGCACTATTTTGACACAATAAGAAATAATGTAGCTCCTTTAAAATCCGGGGCTATCTAACCAATTAACTCATGGAGATCGGTGGGCACAGTATGGACATGAGCCGCTCTCACACTATCGTCCACTGGTGTGTTTGGTCCAGGCTCGACCACAACACTCCACTGTGCAGTAGGGATTGTCACCACGGACATGTTTAACACTTTAATCTGATAGCACAAGGTGAGAAATGTGTTTTCCACCCTTATGTATAGGGGTGTCAGTCAGCATGTGGTTAAGGTGAAGCCTAACTTCATCGCAAAGACATGGGTTCGATTCCCTACAATTTATGGAGCCCCCAGTACATTACAAAAAGTGTCTAAAGTCACTTATATTGCTGAACACACCAGTCTTATCTAGCCAGTTATAAGACGCTTTTAACACCTGACTGGTCCAGCAAAATTGACTCATTGTTATAAGATTTAGAGGCATTAATTGACACGTTCAAACTTATGTCACAGATTTTCTTGTGGCTTGTTGTCAGGACGGATCTGTTAGTGTTAACCGGCTTTGTGTCGATACCCGCCCGGTGAAAGTCTGACCGCTGTGACGTGGGTCTGTCGGACTTGCGTGTCACAACCTGGCCTTAGGTGGCTGTGAGATTACATATACACGGTCGGTGACCTTTCTGAGGTGACCACTGCCTTTCGAGATTCATTAAACCGTGTGCTGTACGTATAGGACTACAGCCTGCTGTACGTATATGCAGCTTGTTTACTGCGTTTATATATACCTAGTGTTGTATCTCTCGAACATTGACCGATAATCCATTTCCATAACAGACAGGTATTTGTAGTCAGGTATACAACCGATTGGAAAGAGTGATCTGTGTAGGAAATATTCCGTTTCTTCTTAAATTCGACCTATCTACCGTGAGCGAGAGCACTGACTTCTCTGCTAATCTATACTATAATGCTAAGGTGAATAGAGGAGTTTCTATGGTAACACGAAACACTAACTCCGTGTGTTAACATGACAATACTGTAACGAGCAAATGCCGCTTCAGTGGATGTAGGCAGAAAGTGCATGATATTTGAAGGGGTCATTTCTGCCAATTAACCTTTGTCTTGGTTTGAGTTCCTCTTTGCTATTTAAAATCGGTAAATACGTAATGTTCCACTGTCTGTTGTAGACGAACGCTTAGTCTCGGAATATAAATGATATTGACAATAACAACAAATAATCACATTTAAACTGAAACGGAGCCCATGTGAGATGGGAGATCTAGACTTGCTTCATTTAGGGCTTCAGGGAGGGCTAGGCAGTAGGGAAAATACTGCGGTTCATGGACTGAACTATCTCTCTGAACAGGGACTATCTGAGTTCTCTGTTGTTGCGACTGTTGTTTGTGTGCATCGGTGAGGAATGCAGGCACCATCGTATCATTAGCAGATGTCTTAATTACATGACCCCAATTAGAGCTTGTTGTAACCGTGGAGGCAGTCGCCATGGAGATGGAGACAATCCTAAATATAGGCAGAGACCATATAATATAGGCTATCAGAAGCCAGTACGGGACACTGCATTGACCGAAGCATTAAGATGCCTACGCTGTAACAACTAGGGTGTACAATAGAGAAATAAAACTATTTACATGTTGTTATTTAACATCGTATTTAAGGATCGTTAATTCGTACATTTTATAAAGAAAGCTGAATGACGCCCAAACGATCAGAATGGCACTTATACAATGCAAACTGACTAAACAGTGTTTTAAACTGAATCCCGAATATATGATTGGATACATTCCTATTTGCCAGACCGTTATCGGTATATGGACGAACTGTGTTCTCGCAGCGTTTATAACTGTACTCGGGGCGGTGGGGTAGCCTAGTGGTTAAAGCGTTGGCTCGTCACGCCGAAGACCCGGGTTCGAATCCCCACATGGGTACAATGTGTGAAGCTCATTTCTGGTGTCCCCCCGCCGCGATGTTGCTGGAATATTGCTAAAAGCGGCGTAAAACCAAACTCAGTCTGTCAGTATAACTGTACTCCGCATGACCAGCGACCATCCATTGGACTACAGCATTTGCCTGTGCTCTAAGTAACTGTTCCACGGCTCTAAAGCAGTACTTAATAAAAACATGACGCGCATAGCTTCACAGGTGTGTGTGTTGTGACTTGTGTGTGTTCAGTGCCACTTCAACACCTAATAACATATGGCGTGCGACTCAGAGATGTTCCATCTAAATACCTACACGATGTAAATAATCGAGTCCAGTGTCTGACGTTGTGAACAGAGACATATGTGCTGTCGCGGTACGATGACACACTGTGACCACCGGATCCACAAGTCGCCACATGCGAACATCCTTGGTTGCTGGGGGCCCTATATTCTAACCGTACTCCCTGTCGGGTGCACCATGCATGGCGTGTTAGTTAGGATTATACGTGCTGGGCTGAATGTCTTGAATGAAGCATGGCTGCCAGGAGAATGAGAAACACTCATGTGCTACAACACACAACTACAGGGGACCGATACGGCCTTCATAGCGTTACGAGCTGTCGTAACTACATTTTGTATACAGTTTATTGTATTCATAAACATATCGTAGAGCTACGAACGCTTTGTGGTTCGGGCCACAGAAGTGTAAATCACCACCACGAACATGACACCAATCTCAATCATCACGGCGAATCTGATATCCGAACCCACGATCAGCGGTTCCAGGCATTGCTCAGGGGACGCAACTCAGAACAGAAAAGTGTGGCTTAATTACACCATACGACCTCTGTACTCCTCGCAGACATTGAATCTCAACGACTGTCCTATATCCAGATCCGCGTCCCACAAAGCCATGGTATGCATGTACAGCTGTCGCTATAGAAGATATAGATCTATGCTGAAAGTACGTGGGTTAAGAAAGTCGTAACTAAGATCGTTTTGCAGAACAAGGCCCAGTTCGATTAATAATGTATAATTATAATGAAAATATTACAGAGTACAAACAAGTGAGTGTGATTTTAGTTTTTCGCCGCGTTTGGCAATATTCCAGCAATATCACGGCCGGGACACCAGCAATGGGTTTCACACATTGAACCCATTAAGAAATCGAACCCGGGTTTTCTGCGTGACGAGCGAACGCTTTAACCACTAGGCTGCCCCACCGCCCACACCACAAAGAAACAACTGACAGCCATCAAACGTACATAGTTAAACACTCCGATTAACAACCCTGTAGAACTCCGCGTTGACCGAGGTATGACCCATGTTCACCTTGCTAACCTATGTTAGCACGTGTTAGCTCATTTATGTCATACTTCGATTGGCCTTCGGTTAGTTACTCTCTTTAGCTACCTCCATCTGGCGTCATCGTCTAAGTTTATTAGTTTCGTTTATTGATTCAGTCGTGAAAATAAGCGTCTTAATTCATATGATTTATTAGGTACTATACGAAAATATGTATTCTGGTATGCGTTAAGTGAACTTGAACTTTTTATTGTTGATAAGACTAACAACTACAAACAAAATAGTCTCTGAAATGAACATCTTTTACAGAAAAAAGCTCATAGTAAAAGAAATAAAATATAATGAAAAGGAACCCTGAGACTTTCTTCATTTTCAGATCTAGACTTACATGTTCTTGACTTGCGTGGGCTTTCTTTGATATATTTGCTTCAGGGTCTGTATGACAGACTG